TTATCCATTTAGGTGTATTTGAATATTTTTTAATATAATATATATTACCATTGTTAGGGTTTTTTTTTTTTTTTTTCTTTTGTTGGTTCTGGGGTTTGAACTCAGGGCTTACCTGCCAGCCCTTTTTTGTCAAGGGTGTTTTTGAGATAGGGTTTTGCAAACTATTTGCCTAGGCTGGTCTTGAACTGTGATCCTCCTGATCTCTGTCTCCTGTAATCCTAGGCCCATTGTTAGTTTTTGCTGCTTTTTTTTTTTTTTTTTGTGGGATTGGCATTTGAACTTGGGTCTTTAGAATTTGTAGAGTAGACACCACATCTCCACTTGTGTTTTTTTTCTTGGCAGTACAGGGATTTGAGCTCAGGGCCTCAATTTTGTTAGGCAGGTGCTTTACCACTTGAACCACTCACTAGCCCTGTTTTTGTGTTGGGTATTTTCAAGATAGGGTCTCACTTTTTGCCCATGCTAGCTTCAAACAGTAATCTTTCTGATCTCTGCCTCCTAAGTAGCTAGGACTACGGCATGAGACATGGGTGCCTGGTCTGTTTTTGCATTTTTGAGACAGGGTTTTCCTTATGGACCAGGCTGGCCTGGAATTCATTATGTAGCCCAGGCTGGCCTTGAACTCAGTCCTCTGGCCTCAACTTCCTGAGTGCTGGGATTAGAGGTGTGTGCCATCTCAACTGGCTCTGTTGTTGCTTTTTAGAAACAATAAAACAGTACAAATGTTTCAGAGGAATTTTGCCAGAATCTTTCATTTGCCACCTTTTCAGATGTATTGCCACCTATCTGTAAGTTTTCTCCTCTATAAAATGGGCCAATAGTATTGTTGGTTTTTGTTTGTTTTTGTGGTTAGGGGCTTGAACTCACCCCCAGCTTTTTTGTTTTTATTTTGTTTTTGAGACAGAGTTTCACTACATTTTTGTCCTGGTTGGCCTTGAACTCAACATTCTCCTGCTTCCACCTCCCAAGTAGCTAGAATTAACAGGCACGTCTTACCATGCCTGGCTCAATAACATCTGTAGAAGACACATTTTTTAGGTATTTGTATAAAAGGAACTGGGGACACATGGTTATGTCTCTTATGGATGGGGAGGAAAGTCATACTTGATGTTACTTTGTTCTTGGCACATTATTAAGATCCTTCCCCATAGACCTCTCCAGTGGAATTATTATTTCCATCTTAAAAGTGAGAGAGCATGAGAGGTTAAGTAACTTTTCCAAGGTCACACAGCTAATGAATGCCAGATTCTGGATTTGAATTCAGAGCTCTTTGTGTACAGCCCCTTATTCTTCCCAGCCCATAAGAAAGATCAGAAACGCATAAGGAGAAGCCCTAAATGAGGGACTGTAAAACCTGGAATCTAAGTCCTGCTGCCACTTACAAGCCATGTGACTGACTTTGCATGACTCATGGGTCTCAATTTCCTCTCCCGTAAAATGGAGACAATGATACTTTCCTGCCTTCTTCACGGAATTATAGTGACCAAGAAGAGGACCTAACATGCTGAAGCACCTGCTTCATGTCTGGCATTTGGCTTGCTTCATCTCTTGCAGTGAACCGCAACCAGATGAAGGTCCTGGGCAAGTCCTCTGCAGGTGGGGTGTTAGCAGCAGCGGCCCCTTCTCTCTGTTCTTAGGAAAGGGAAGTGAATCTGGTGTTGAAATTTCCACCCCCCACATAAGGCAGCATCCTTCTTAACCCTTCACTGTGTCTGTTTGGAAAGTTCATTTTAAAGTCTTGCACAGGGATCCTGACTGTTGTATTGCTTCAAAAAAAATTTTTTTTTTTTTTTGAGACAGGACCTTGCTATGTAACTTAGGCTGGCCTTGAACTCACCAACCTCCTGCCTCAGTCTTTCCAGTGCTGGAATTGCAGGTGTGCACCACCATGCCTGGCTCTGCTCATTCTTAATCCTCAGGGAAGAACGAATGGAAAGGGAGTGAAATTTTCCATGGCCAGGTCCCTTTGTTGGAAGGTGAAAATACCCAGGTTACCAGTGGTTACTGTGCTCCTGCCACAACTGACCTGCTCACTTGGGCATGTCCAGTCTTGAATTTAGTTTTTGGGTGTGCTCTTTTGGGAGAGGAGGTGGGGCTGGGGTCAGGCAGAGCCGTGTTTGTGAGTGGGACCCAGTGCCAGGCCACTGGGTTCTTCCACTGGCTGGGTGGCTCTGGGCCCAGGGTGTTTGGCGAGGCTGCATTTTCTCTGCTCATGGTGGCTCCTGCCTCACCTGGGTCCAACCATGGGCTCTGCTGAGCATCAAGGCACTCTCAGTCTACAAAGGACTCCTGAGAATGGGCAGTATTTGGACAAGAACTCTTGTTCTGTGCAGCCAGCATGGCTTCTACTCTCATGGACAGGGCTCTTCCTGAGGGGCTGGTGAAAGAGGCCCTGGACCCTGGATGGGGGTAGGTGGGATGGGGTGCCCTAGTCAGTCCCAGGCAGGAGCTGCAGGGCCCAGCCTGGCCAGGGCCTGGCACTCTCCTATCAGGGTCACATCCCAGAAAGAGCATTTTGACGGCAAGTATTCCTATTATGCCTTCTGGGAGCCCCGTCTTATGACAGATGTCCAAAGGCTGAGGTGCAGAAGCGACCAGTATCGCCAAGTGTAAGGTGGGGTTGGGGGCCCGGGAGGGATTCTATGGGTACCAGCTTCTGGCCAGAGCAGTGACAGAAACCCTAATAGAAGGGATGGGATTGTGGATATGTGAGTATGGGAAGGTGGGGGGAGAAGAGGGAAGGAGGGAGAGAGGAAGGGAAGAGGAAAGCTTCTGGAGGTGCCGTGCTTAGGACAGAAACAGAGAAGCTGAAAGGGCCACAGATATCCTGCAAACCCCCAAACTCTTGGCTTACACTTCGTACTGAGTCCTCTTCTCCCCTCCCCTCCCCTCCGCTTCCCTATGACTTGACATCTCCTTCCTGAGGGGATCCTTTTATGTATCCCAGGCTGACCTCAAAGTTGTGATCCTCTGCCTCAGCTTTCTAAGTGCTGGGATTATAGGTATGTACTACTATGCCTAGCTTCTGCTGGGGTTTCTTGTGAGCCTGGAGCAAATGTGCAAGAATGATTTCCCCAGTGTCATCTCCCTGGCCACCATCCTCCCTCCCTCTGCCCACTGCTCATTCTCAGCCTGTCCTTCCCAGTGGATGAGTGGCCCAACCCAGTGCCAGGCAGGGCTGGTCTGAAGAGGAAGAGGCCCCTTGCTCAGGGAGGCGTGGCTGCTCTGGTCTCTGGGGAGCATTTGCAGGTTGCCTTGATGTGGCTTTTCTCCAGTGCTGCTGCTTCTGGTCCCAGGAAGGGCCACAGTTCCCAAGGCTAATATCTGCTGAGGCATGTACCAGGAGCTGACTGGCTGGGCAGTGGTTCCAGAACCTGGGAGGTGACTGCTCCCTGGCCAGCTCAGCCATGGCTCAAAGTCTACCCTGGTTCAGTGGTCCCTGATGACTTACTGAGGACCAGTGGCAAGAGAAGGCTCCCCATAGCTTGTCACTCAGCTGAGATCCACGAAGCCTCAGCTTCAGTTCTTGCTTCTCCCCACTTACTCTGTCTCTTCCCAGAGGACTTGAACCCATGGTGATTTGTGCACCTGAGCAGGGAGAGGAGAGACCTCCCTCCATAAAAGCATGGGGACAGGCTGTCTTCCATGTCCCTAACCTGCTTTTTCATCTGTGCTTTTAGGCTTTATTTGGGTGTGGCTCAGCTGTCCTATAAAGTTGGGATTCTTGGATCAGTGCGTGTGCAGAGCTGCACCTTGAATTAGGAGCAGGGTGGCTATGGAGCTAGAGAGCCCCACCCTTTCTAGAAACTCCTTCCTTTCCTGACTAGAAAAACCTCAATAACTTACTTTAGGTCTGCTCTTGCAGAGTAGGGAGACCTGCCTCCCCCAACGGGTGAGGATGAGTGTACAGACGAGCCTTAAACCTATACCTGCAGGGGTAAGATCTTGCTTCCCTGGCTGTGTGCTTTCAACTGATCGTTCAGGTTTTTTTTGTAGCCTCAGTTTCTGCATCTGTAAAATGGGGATGGAACCTAGGGCCTTGTGCATCCTGAGCAGGCACTCTACCACTGCCATACCTCCAATCCTCAAACCCTGCAGACACTTTCCGAGAGAATAAATGTAGCGATACTGTGAAGGAAGAGCAGCCAGTGTCAAGCCTGGGGCCTGAGGTCAGGAGCTAGAGGAGATACGGGATGCATCAACACAGGTTGATCTGTGTCGCGGCAGGGATGAGATGTGAGCATGTTGGCATGGCATACAGGCCCCACACCTAGGCATGGGGGCCCACGGGCTGTCCCCGTGCATTCTGAGGTGGGTTAAGGTCTCTGTGCTCTGGATCTGTCACCTCATATTTCCTAAAGGGTTCTACTCTCTGGCCACTGTTTCTACCTTCTTATAAGTCATGCCAAAGGAAACCTGCCCACACTCCTGCCTCAGTAAGAGTGGGTGATGTTTATTGAGGGCTTAATATGTCCCAAGTGACCGTCCAGCTCAATTGATCTTGACATCTTATGAGGCCCAACTTACTGTCTGAGTTTTTCAGTTTCGGGAACTGAAATTCACGTAGCTGTTATGCACTGGGACTGGGATTTGAACCCAGCAGAGGCCTCATTCTTTCTTAACCTATAGGGCACTGCAGCCCGCGTAAGCATGAACTAACCACCTCTTAAGCAGGGAAGGAGGCCTGATGTGTTCCCAGTACTGGAGGAAGCCCACCTCCATTGTGTCCTTGGGGACTGAAGGCCAGTCTCCATGTACTATTCCAGGGTTAGAAAGGGCCTTGGAACCATCCCGTTCATTTTGCAGGTGAGGCCAGAGCATTTGCAAGCCTGCTCTGGGTGTCATGGATGATGGCAGTTGAGTGACCTCCCACAGTGTGGGTGGCGTGGGTGTTCCGGTGCTGGCAGGAGCTTTCTCATCCTGCCCTGTCCTCTCCGAGCCAGGCCTGAGCTGAAGTGACCTCCCTCCGCCTCACTCTCTTCCGTCTCGTCCTTCTCTAGATTGACAAGTATCTGTTTGCCATGCGGCTCTCCGATGAAACTCTGATAGATATTATGATGCGCTTCAAGAGGGAAATGCAGAATGGCCTCTCCCGAGATTTTAATCCGACAGCCACGGTGAAGATGTTGCCAACCTTTGTAAGGTCCATTCCTGATGGTTCAGGTGAGCCTCTTACCCAGAGAAGCCACCCTTCCCACTTTCATTTGTTCACGCATTCACTCATTCACTCACTCACCTATTCCATCCATTTATTCTCCCATTCACCCACCCATTGATGGATGCACTCATTGATTGATTGATCCATGTATCCATTTATCAATCCATCCATTAATAGATCCATTGCTCTATCTGTTGATCCATCCATCCATCCACCTGTCTGTCTGTCATATGTCTATTGAGCATCTGCCCTGAGCCAGGCACTGGGGATACCATGTTGGATAAGGTTGACCTGTCCTCGTGGGCCAGGCCATGGGATGGCTTGTGACGCTTTGAAAGTATAGTCTTTAAGGTTTTGTAGATACTGTGCAAATTGCTCTTATGTCTCCCCCGAACAAATGAAGGATTCATTTTAGGGGAATCTGTCAATCAGGGAGCACCAAGGCCAGCCTCTCTTTGGTACCCCAGATAAGTAGCAATCCTGGTGGCTAGAACTCTCAGAGTGGGATTCAAGATGCTATTTGAACAAATTCCCTAGATATTAAATCAAGGTAGACCCAAAGCAGACCTCTCAGTCTGCATCCCGGTGGCTCAGGCTGCAGTGGGGAGTTGAGAGGCTCCTGAGGATTGTCAGTACCCCATCCCAGCATAGTGGCATTAGCCCTGATCTTGCACAGTGGAGGCTGGGAGCCCACAGGCTCCCATGCTTAGTGAAGGCCATTCTGCCTGGCCAGCGTGCAGTTATTAGTTGGCAGGAGTGGGTGCCATGCCTGCCCCAGCTTGGCTCCTGCACAGGAATCCACTGTGAGCTGCATTCTGTGCCCTATGCTGGCACTCACCTGCTGCATGCCATGGGGGAGGGAGGTTATGAGGAAGTTGAGTTTCCCTTGCGAGTACATCTGTGAGTATGGCCTGCTGTTTCTTCCCTGCTCTAGGTTTTAAATCTTATCTGGAGGCTGTTCAAAGCAGCTTGTGTGGGGACGCCAGGGAAGCTGCAGCAGTTGCTGTGGTGTTTATGACCTAGGGCAAGAGACAGGCTGGAGCGGGGAGAATCTTGCCCAGCTACAGCTGGCCTTGGGAAGTCCTGAGTGAGACTCAGCCCAATGAAGGGCACTAGCTGTTTACTCTGTGTCTGCTGATGGGGCTCACTTCTCGCATACACATTGGCTTCCTATGTCTTGGATGTTTCTCTGGCTGCTTTAGAATCTGCTCTCCCTGTCTCTGTTCATTTGGTTCCTTGAGTTGGTTACCAGCAGTTTAGCTTTTGAAAAGTCCTGAAGAGGTTATGCCCTAGGTGTGTTCTCATGTCCGTGGCTACAAACTGACCTTGTAGGTCAGTTCCAGTTTTTTATCAGCCATGGATAAGCCCAGGCGCCTCACCGCCTGAGAGGAAAGCAGGGGGAGAGATGGTGTGGGCAGCCCCAGGAGAACACCTGCTTGGGCGGGGCTCTGGATGGAGAACCCAAAGGATACCTGATCCCAGCAGGCACCTGGTGCTGTGTGACCAGCTCAGGTAGAAACCTAGGAGGAAGAGGAACACCAGGTGCCTTCTTTTTCCTCCTGAACCCTGTCTTCTTTCTGGCTTGGCTCCAGGACCCTAGATCAGAGGGGTGCTCCTGCTCACTCTCTCCACCAACCATTTCCACAGTTTGAGGGTCTCAGAATGTGACCTAACCTGTTTAACGTGGTACGACTGCCTTCCCTCCCACCTGCTATCATGTTCTATCTATTTGGGAACACTTTTTTTTCTTTTTGTGGGACTGGGGTTTGAACTCAGGGCTTCATGCTTACAAAGCAGACGCTCTACTGCCTGAGCCAGTCCATTTTGCTCTGGTTATTTTCAGGTATGGGATCTTGCAAACTATTTGCTCTGGCCTTGAACTACGATCCTCTTGATCTCAAGTAGCTAGGATAACAGGTGTGAGTCACTGGCACCTGGCTATTTCTTTTTTTTGTTTGTTTCTTTAAATATCTGATATCTGCACTGTTTTGTATAATAATTGCATCTTATGATTATCTCTGTTGATTTTGTGTGTGTGTGTGGTACTGGGGATTGAACCCAGGATGACATACATCTAAGCAAGTGCTCTACCACTTGAGCTATGCCCTCAGTCCTTTTGTTTGTATTTTGTTTTCAAGACAGAGTCTCACTAACTTTGGCTGGGCTGGTCTTAAACTCGTGATTCTCTTGCCTCTTCCTCCTGAGTATCTGGGATTACAGGTGGGCACCACCACACCCAGCTTCTCTTTGTTAATGTCACATCCAATAATAGTGCATCTCATAAGGAGTGGTGTCTTAAATGTAATAGCATTTGTGGTTATTGCTCTTGTTGGTAAACGTTGCTATAGTGCTTGTGGAATTGGAACCAGCAGTCTGAGCCCATGCCTCTTTTGAGGCTGTCTCCTTCAGTACCAATTGGACCAAGAGTTAGAGCCTTTCAGCAACATAGGCCAGTGTTGAGAACAAAAGGAGGAAGAGAGAGGAGGGGTGAAACCAAAGCCCTGAACCCCAGGGATCTGGGTGCTCTGTGCATAGGAAGGTGGGTCCTTTTAGCTTGTTGTTTTGGCTGAGGGCCCCTCCAGTACTCCTTAACAATGACCTCTTCACAACTAGATCATATCTACCAAGACCCCATTTCCAAATAAGAATGTGAATCCAGTGTACTAGGGGTTAGGATCTCTTTTTAGGATATTTAAGAACAAACCCTATTGCCTTTTTCCTGTGACTGTTCCTGATATTTCTGGTGGGCTCATATGCCCTGGGGCTACACTTGCAGTGGAATGGTCCTCACAGACCTGAGTATTGATGCAAGGACTTGATGCACCCCATATCCCTGGGCTTTTTCCTCCAAGAACCACAGGTGTAATCTGAAAGCAGGTCTCCTTAATAGGAAGTCATGTGCTGTTCTCTTTTTGAAATGTTAATCACTCTTCAACAGTAGTAATTAGTCAGCATAGAATTGGTGGCAATCCCAAACCACAGAAGGATAAGTGGAGCTCACCATGAATGGAGGCACACTGAGAAATCCCCTGCCTGTGAAGTGAAGACTGATTTCCTAGGCAAAGGGAGAAACCAACTTTCTCTTTCCTGCCAGCTTTGACCTTGGTGGACTGGACTCAGAGTTTTGAACCTGCTGATTTTTTGAAAAGACCTTCTGAAAACATATCTGATAACACACATTCTGATACACATCAGCCCGTGTTTTAAATTAACTTTACTCCCTGTTTTTATGGACGGTGGGGTTTTTTGTTTAGGTGTTTTTAGTTCCTCTCAGTAGACTTTGCCGACTATATCCTCCTTTTTTTCCTCCTCTTATCACTAAAGATATCAGAGGTACCAGTTAGATTATACGATTTTTTGAGGGCATATACGGTTGGATATTTCTTTGCTTCTCCATCACAGTCACTAGCATGGTTTTTACCAAAAGAGAAACCAACAAAATATTTCCTGGAAGCTTTTGGATATCCCATTATCTTTTTTTTCATGCAAAGCAGAATGATTTATAGATTTTTGTGGTTTTTTTTTTTTTGAGACAATGTCTCACCTTGTAGCCTTGCCTCACTTTGAACTCTGGATCCTCCTGCCATAGCTTCTGGGAGTACAGGCATGTCTCTCTACGCTGGGCCCTGAATATACAGTCCTACATTTCCGACCAAGGAAGGAGAATAGCTCCCTTTTCTTCCTCTGGTATTTGGGCTGACTCAGGTTTCCTGTCTGGAAGATGGTTGGATCATCCTGGAAGTTGCCCCCCTCTGTGAAATCTGCATGTCTGGTGATCTCCTTGGGTTGTGTGTGAAGGTTCTCATGGGGGCTGGCTGGCAGGGCACAGCTGGGCACTTCCTGAAGGTGGAGTTTGTGTCTGCCCTATGTTTCAGCACAGGCCTGTACTGGAGAGACATCTGTCCTTGTGTTTGTCTTCCATTATTTGCGGGTAATAATGGCTGTCATTAGGACGCAGAGTTGCTGGGCCCTTCAGATGCTGTGTTTAATGAGGCTTCTCTTGAAGAGTGGCTCTCCTGGCTTCAGTGGAAATGGGAAATGTGTGCAGAAGTTTCAAGTAGGAGGCCCCGGCAGCCAGTGCCCAGCTTGAGACCAATGATTTCAAGAGGAAGTTGGAAGGAAGCTTGCTGCTGTAGAAAGACACTGAACTTGAAGTCAAAGGGAAAAAATAAATAAACAATTCATAAATAAAGCGAAAAATCCAGAGCACTGGATAAGTCTCTGGTGCTGTATTCACTCTCTGCATAACCTTGGAGAACTCACTTCACTTTTGTGAGGTTCCACTTCCTCATCTGTAAAATGGGTGTGATGATCTCTGCCCTTCCTGTCTGGCAGGACTGTCATCAAGAACAGAGGGAAGGGCTCTGGAAACGCATACCGCCATCAGTACACAGAGGGGCCCATCACCAATATCATTATGGAAACTTAATAACTGACTTTGCAACAGTCCCTTGCAAGGCTCCCCCCTACTGTTGGGCCAGCCTTGCCCCTAGAGGAAGGGTGCAGTCTTCCAGAACTCACTGGCATCTCTGATGTTATTGAAGGAGACCCAAGGCAGACTTTTACCTCCACCCCACATAAAATGGGGTGAGCCCCAGACTGCAGTTCTGGTCCTTCTGCAGTGGGTTGTGACAGTACCCCTCAGCTGTGACCTGGGGAGCCAACCTGAGATATAAAAGGGATGATAGATTCCTTTTGTTATGGAAGGCAAGTAAGTATTTCGGGGTGCTCCTTCCCTACACAAGAATATTGAACTTGGGAACCTTCTGGTTGTAGCTGCAATAAATCAAACTCAAATCATTTGAGGCAAAAAAGGGGAAATTCTAGATTCTATCATGGGAAGTCTACTTGTCAGGAGCTGCTCTGTCTCTTACTCTGTCAGTCAGCCTGGCTTTACTGTGTTGCCTTCATTCACAGACCACCTCTGCCCTTCTAATGGGGACACAGCCCTGTAGCCCTAGGCTGACATCTCCCTCCCTGGCTAGTCCCAGCCAGAGAGCTGGCCTTGTTCACGCTGAAGGACTAGTGGTCTTGGAGGGGCCCATGACTGGTTGACTTGGATCATGTGTTCATACTGACCCAATCACTATGGCTGTGATTGTGACTCACACTTTGGTCTCCCTGGAGCTGGAGCAGGGGGCAGCCTTACCTCCAGCCTCATGGGTGAAAAATAGGAGGGTAGTGAGCTAAAGAGATTCAAAGAAGTTAAGTCTGCTTTTTAGTTTTCTGTGGGGAATAACAGCTCTATAATCATAACATGTTAGCTAGACATCCAACAGAATTTACCTGAAGTCGTTCCTTGGAGTCTTTTGCCTGGTAGAGTATAGGCGTGAACAGGCCATGTGCCTGACCCTGGCAGTTCTTACTGCACCAGCTACACTCACACTGCGACCTTGATGCCCTGGGGAGGGAGGGGGGTAGGTGAGTGAACCTGCCCTGGCCTCCAAGTTGCTTATCACCCACCTGAGGAAGATAAGGTGTATACACACACAAAAGAGTAAGAGTCATGGTTTGCAAAGGCACAGTGGAGAGTGGGGCCCAGCGGGCCATAGAAATGTGAGCCAGTGCTGTGTACCCTGAGGCCTTGCTCCTCCCCAATCTACATGCAGGAGGTCACATTTCACTTAACCTGCTGGAAAAGTTGTAAGGCCTGGGCCTGCAGAGGGGCTGCCGGACACTGACGCCTTCATTGATCAGGGACCAGCTGTGTGGCCAAGGATGCTGATTGGTTAGGCACCTCAACCACCATCACTTGGAACTTGGAGCAACCTGAAACCTGCTTTCTCTGATTCATCTGAAAATGAGACTGAGCAAGCAACTGAAAGATTTCCCATGCTATCTTGGAAGATATGATAAATCCAATACAAGCATGTCACTGTATAAAAGAGAATACATTTTGTTTTTAAACGAAAAGCAACTATTACTTAAAAAACTGAGAAAGCCCAAGGGACCTAGAATAACCAAACAGTCTTAAGAAGAACCAAGTTGAAAAACTTTTGCTTCCCAGTTCCAGAACTCATTACAAACAACAATAAATCAGGGCTGTGTGGTACTTACTAGCAGAAGGGTAGCCGTAGAGATCAATGAAACCAAATTGAGAGTTCAGAAACTAACTCAATACATTTATGGTTAATTGATTTTTGGCAAGGGTGGCAAGGCTGTTTAGTGAGGGAAAGAATTGTCTTTTCAGCAATGGTGCGGAGGCATTCAATATCACATGCAAAAGAATGAAGTTGAACCCTTGCCTAATACCATATACAAAAATTAACTCACAATGGATCAAAGACCTAAATGTAAGAGCTAAAACTATAGAACTCCTAAAAGAAAATATAGCTGGGAGTCTTTGTGACCTGGGATTTGGCAATGGATTCTGAGATATAAAATCAAAGCACAACTAACAAAATAAAAACTAGAAAAATTGTACTTCATCAAAATTTTTGGTTTTTTTTGGGGGTGGGACTGGGGTTTGAACTCAGGTCTTCACACTTCCAAAGCCAGCATTAGCAGAGCAGGCACTATGTCACTGGAGCCACACCTCCAGTTCATTTTGCTCTGGTTATTTTGAATATGGGGTCTTGCAAACGATTGGCCTGGTCTGGCCTCAGATTGTAATCTTCCTGATCTCAGTCTCCTGAGTAGCTAGGATTATAGGCATGAGTCTCTGGCACCTGACTAAAATTAAAAATTTTAATAGAGCCAGGTGCTAGTGGCTCACGCTTGTAATCCTAGCTACTCAGGAGGCAAACATCAGGAGGATCAAAGTTTGAGACCGGCCTGGGTAAATAGTTCTTGAGACTGTTTGGGTATCTTGAAAATACACAACAGAATATAGAGCTGGTAGAGTATCTCAAGTGTTAGAGTACCTGCCTAGCAATCTTGAGGCCATGGGTTCAACCCTCAGTACTGCCAAAAAGCAAAAAACAAAAGATCCAAAATAAAAACAAGTGGAGAAAAAGAAAAAAAAAACCAAACAAACTAAAACAAAGAACTCTTAAAAACTCAGCACTAAAAAGATAACTCAGGCTTTTGTTTGTTTATTTGTTATTTGTAGGACTAGGGTTTAAACTTAGGGCTTCCCTCTACTGTTTGAGCCACATCTCTAGTTCATTTTGCTCTGGTTATTTTCGGGTATGGGGGCGTCTTGCAAACTATTTACCTGAGTTGGTCTTGAACCAAGGTCCTCCTGATCTCAGCTTCCCAAGTGGCTAGGATTATAGATATGAGCCACCAGCCCCTGGCTGGCAACTCAGTTTTTAAAATGAACAGAAGAGCTGAATAGACTTGTTTCCAGAGAAAATATCCGAATAGCCAATAACCCTGTGAAGACATGCTTAGCATCATTAGTTTAGAGAAATGAAAATCAAGATAAAAAGACAGTCCCGAGTGTAGTTAAAGATATGGATATGGAAAATGGTGCAGCTGCTTTGAAAACAGTGGTAAGTTCTCAGAAAGTTCAACATGGTCCATCACTTGACATAGCAATTCTACTCGGTATGTACCCAAGAGAAACGAAAATGGATGTCCACAAAGACCTGTCTGCCAGCGCTCACAGCAGTGTTGTTTGCAATGGCTGACCTGTAGAAGCGGCCGTGTGCATCCACAGAGGAACGGATGTGGCAAAATTGTATATCTAAACAGTGGGAGAGCCTCTGACCATGAAAAGGAATGAAATACCAATACAAACTACAACATGGATGAACTTTTAAAGCATTTTGCTAAGTGAAAGAAGACAGTCACAGACAGATAGACAGTAGATTAGCGGAGGCCTAAGGCTGGGGGAAGCGAGGGGCTTTGGGAGTGACAAAGGGTCCTGGGTTTCTTTTTGAGGTGATGAAAATGTTCTAAAACTGGTAGTGGTGATGATTGTAAAATGAATATACTAAAACCATTGAACTGTGTATACTTTAAATGAGCAAATTTTGTGGTATGTGAATTAAATTTCAATCATGTCATTATATGAAATATAATAAAATCCTTTTCTAGGGAAGTAAGGTGCCCCAAAGCAGTCTGGTATCAATTGCCATAGGATTGAAGGCTTTGTGGGTCACTGGGACTCAGGGAGGCAGGGGTGGCTGTCACCTTGGCCTGATGACAAAGGGTATAACAGATAAACCTTGGAGGCATCATGCTATGTGAAATAAGCCAGTCATAAAGACAGCTGGTGTCCGTATGAAATATACAGAAGAAGCGAGTTTTAGAAAGGGACTGGGGGGGTGGGGATGGGGTAATTGCTTAATGGTTAGAGAGTTTTGCTGGGAATGATGAAAAAGTTTTGGAAATAGATAGTGATGGTTGCCCAATATGGCAACTGTGTTAATGACACTGAACTATACACTTAAAAATGGTTATAATGGCAAGTTTTGTGTGTATTACCTCAACAATGAGAGAACCACCCTGTGGGGTACATGGAGCTGTGGACTATAGTGGTGATGGGTGTCTGAACTAACATGGAAGGAACCCAAGTGGGTGGTTCTAGGTGTAGGGTGTTCTCTGAGTTGAAGTGCTGGGTGATTTTATTTATGGGCAGCAGTGCTGTTTTTGTTGTTGCTGTTTGGTGGTACTGGGGTTTGAACTCAAGGCCTCATGCTTGCTAGGCAGGTGCTCTACCACCTTGAGCCACTCTGCCAGCCCTTTTTTGGTGTTGGGTGTTTTTGAGATAGGGTCTCACAAACTATCTTCCAAATCGAGCTCAAACTGTGATCCTTCTTGATCTCTGCCTCCTGAGTAACTAGGATTACAGATATGAGCCACTGGCACCCAGCTAGCCATGCTTTTTTTGAAATAGGCTGAGGAATTAGAGGCAGGTGGGATGAATTTTTGTACGAAATCCAGGACTTCACTTCCCCTGCAGTCAGGAGATGAAGGGGATTGGTTGAAGCTCTTCCTGTCTGAGGTTGCCAGAAGAGCTTGGATGAAAATTGAATGATTTCCTGTGGCCCTCAGAGGCAGATGAGGCTTGGTCTAGGGAGCAGCATAGCATGTAGCCGTCCCCTGACACTTAAATCTGATGTGTCACCTGTGTTGTCTTCCTTCACAGAAAAGGGAGATTTCATAGCCCTGGATCTTGGCGGGTCTTCTTTTCGAATTCTGCGGGTACAAGTGAATCACGAGAAGAACCAGAATGTTCACATGGAGTCAGAGGCTTATGACACCCCAGAGAATATTGTTCATGGCAGTGGAAGCCAGGTGGGTCTCTGTTTTCTTCAGACCAGCCTCTTTGGGCCAGCGTCCTCTGGGGCACTTCAGGTACCAGACTTCGGAGCACGTGGGAGTCATGAGCCCCTGCAGGGGTTGCTGCAGCCTGGCATAGTGCATATGTAAAGGCCTCCTGGATGGAGGGATGTGGCAGATGGGTGGTTCTGGGATGTGCCCGAAGAGCTGTCTGCTAAATGGGTAAATTGGTGGGGCGGGAGTGGGTGCTTGGACTCTGTCAGGGTGAAGGGTGTGGGGAGGAAGTCCCCGGGACTCTGTTGCAAATGCCCTCATTCCTGCATCCCGGGTTGGTGTCGGAGTACAGGTTTAGTACAGCCTTTAAGTGGAAATGTCCTTTTCTTTGGATCATTGGCCTCACTCACTAACCTCAGGCCAGGCCCTGTGAAGTGGCTGAGACCCTGTAGGGCAGGAATAGAGTTCATAGCTCCGGTAACTGGGGGTTCTTCTCTCCTGATGTAATAGAGTATACACACCCGTGGCTCAGTAAGCAGAGAGAGCATGCCCTTCCTCCCACACTAGTACCCATGCCTGAGGCCCACTCCCCCGACCCCTGGCCCTGTCCAGGAGGAGCCTGTCTAGTTGTGGTGAGTGGTGGGTCTCTATCCCTCCAGGACCCTGAGGGCAGGGTTCGGGTAGCCCTATCAATTTTTAGTCATTTCTGGGTCTCCTGAGCCTGTCAGTGGGGCCACTTCCCACTGTGGACAGCTGGCTCTCAAGGCTGTGCTTGCTCCCCAGTCAGGGTTGCAGTCTAGGGTGCTGTTCAGAACTTGCCAGATGTTTGCTGTAGGGAGGGGGTGTTCACCACAAATTAAGGGCTAAGTTCTCCATTGGTTCTAGGGTGGATTTTGAGGTGAAACCCAGGAAGCTCCCCTTTGGCCTCTATTTTGTTCCTAGGTTAGTGTGGGTGGTACCTAGAGCAAGCCACACAACATTTCTTTGTTCAAGAGACAAGGGTTAATTGTGGCCTTGAACTTGCTCCTCTGGGTTTGCATTCAGAGCTTTTCATACCATAGTGAGCATTGACAGGCACACTGTCTCTAGGCAGGTGAGGCATTTTACTGCCAGTCACTGAACAGGGGTGTGTCACTCGTTGGGTAGCCTCACCTCTGTCACTAGACTGCACCTGGTGTGTGCATGAGGCTACAGCTGGTGGGTCTCCCAGCCCTACTTTATTGGCTGCTATACCATTCCTTTCTGCAGGTGGCCAGCAGCTGAAGGACTTGGCAGGCAGCTGTGCTTCCATTTGACAACAGATACTGGCCTGTCACTCTCTGTAACTCATGGTCCTTGGGTTGAGCCATTTAAGCTTGGTCCCTTTACCATTGAAACTGTCATACGTACACATTCCCTGTGTGCTTTGGCCTGACCTTGTGGGAGCAAGGTTTGTTAATTAAGGTTTCTTCCCTCCTCCGGTGCACACTCACTGCATTCTCTCTACAGTAGCTCCCTTCTTAACACTGTCTCCTTCTACCCTGTCCCCTCTGCCTTCTCAGTCCGATGATCACTTTGCTTCCTGCTGTCTGTTTCTTCCTCTGCCTCTCTCTGTGAGAAGATGATGATGACAATATGTCTTTTCATTATGGCAGATAGGGACATCGTGTTTGTTATGTGCAAGTCAAGTACTCATTTAGTCTTCTCAACCCTGTGGTGTAGGTATTATCATCATTCCCATTTTATTGATGGGGAAATCAAGGCTCAGCTGTACAATAACTAGCTTCTGGGATTTGAATGTAGGCAGTCTGGCTCCAGAAGTTAGTTTCTGGTAGGGTGGTAGTGAATGCCTATAATCCCAGCAGTTGGGAGGCAGAGAGGCGGGGGGATCATGAGTTTGAGGCCAGACTGGGCTACATAGCTAGACCATGTCTCAAACAAATATACACAAAAAGTTACAGATTCAGCAACTTGGAATTCCTATGTAGAGTTTTGTCTTGATCTTTATTTTCTTATTGAAATTTTGGAGTCAAGGGCTGTAGACAATCCCCTCATCAGGGGATGAAGATGGAGGGGATGACGTGGGAGCCTCTTCCCCAGCAGTCTGGTGTTAGAAATCAGCATCAGGAGGCCCAGCTTTCTGAGCTGTTTTTGTCACCTGTTCTCTGGAGATGGTGGTGACCCAGGTCCTCATTTTGCCTGTGGAGCTACTCACAGACTGTAAGCAGTGTGAATGTTAGGGTTTGTGATCACAGGGGATTCTCACCCTCTGGGATGTGTGGCTGTTTTAAAATTGATTTTTAAATCTTTTACTTGAAATACTGTTAAACTTACAGAGACATTCTAAAATAAACACAGGCGCTCCTTATTTTACCTTCCACCTGACTCCCTGACTGTCACCTCTTTCTGTTTTCCTTGTCTCCTAGTCACAGACATGGCTTGGCTCAGGGCAGCTTCCTGCTTCCTTGGGCTGGCTTGTAGCTGCCACATTGTGGAAACTTCACAGAAATTCTCAGCAGAGTGCCCTGGGAGCTGTGTTTGGCTTGGGTTCAGGCACTGGCTGCAGGGCCTGTGTCTGTGCATCTGACACCCCTGGCCATTTCCTTGCCTGTCCTTCCTTCCCTCTGCTGGGCCTTCAGCAGGGATGTGTGGAGCTCCCAGTGCAGATGGTGTGGGGAGCAAGGACCAACTTAGTCATGGGTTTATATCCAACTGAAATAGGTCAGAGGAAGCTTAGCCTGGCTCCTCCTGACTCCAGTCAGTGATGTCACCTCAGCAGTGGCCTGAGTAATAGTGAATCAGGGACCGAGGCTCCCATATGAGAAGTGATTGGATTTCCCTTTACTCTAGTACAGAGTCGAACTTGAAAGCTGGGTCAGGGACATCAGGAAGATGAGTGGCCATAATGAGTTCTGGCTCCTTGTGAAGGACACCCCTACAAGGAGACCCGTAAGGCAGATGGCCTCATCTGGGAGCTTGGGCTGTGGCTGCTTCATGTGACTGGTTTGGCCCTTTCATCTCTGCCTCTGAGCTCGCGGAAGCTCTGCGGCTGTGTTACCAAAGGCATGCGGCAGCTAGGGAACCAGCATTCTGACTCTTCCGAGTGGAGTCCTAAGATGTGTACATCGTGGGTAACATGTTAAAGAGCAGACATGCTTAAGTGGCAATCCAGTGAAAAAATCATGATACATTCATACCAGGGAATATTGTGCAGTGAGAAGAAGAAACAGTCCACAAACACACGTCACCATAGATGACTCTGCCACACAGTGGAGGGCAGGAGGACAGACACGAAAGAGCATATCCTGCCTCGTTTCCATTTATATGGAAATAAGATAATCAAGGGTGTTAGAAGTCAGGGTGGCAGCGGGACCGACAGCAGGGGCATGAGAGTGGCATTTAGACTTTGATAACATTGTATTTCTTTTGGTTTGGGGTGCTAGGCCTCGAACCCAGGGCCTCATGCATGCTAGGCAAGCTCTCTATCACTGAGCACATTCCCAGCCCCATGTTGAGTTGCTTGATGTGGATGCTGGTGATACGAGTGGGTGTGGCTGGTGAGAGTCCAGTGACCTCCACAGTTAGGCCATGTGTACATTTTTTGGTATGTTCTTTATCCTAATGTAAAATAAAAATATGATGGTCTGAAGATCATTCAGTCACTCCAGTGGGCCAGAGACTGTGGAATTGCCCATGGAGTCTCTGGAATTCACAGAGAGAACAGTAAGGGAAGGGACCATGCCACCTGGGCAACTGAAGACCTGTGGCCAGTCCTTAGTGCCCAGATGACATGTCAGTGACCACTGGGAGCCTAGTTCCTTTTGAGGGTTTGAGACACTTCCTAAGAGCTGGGCTGGTCCGTTACTGGCTCTTTTTGCGTGGCTGTTCTCTGCCATTTACATAAAGCATGACTCTGCAGACTGAGCCACCGGGCACTTGGAAAGATGTGCTCTTTTCTGTGTGTACCAGAGGGAACTGGTTACATCTTCCCTCTGAAATGCTAAGTTCCCTTTCTCCCACCTGACTGCTCTCTCCTGTTCTTTTCAGCTCTTTGATCATGTCGCTGAGTGCCTGGGGGACTTCATGGAGAAAAGGAAGATCAAGGACAAGAAATTGCCTGTGGGATTCACGTTTTCCTTCCCTTGCCAGCAGTCCAAAATAGACGAGGTATGTACATTCTGAGACAGCTTACCTCCACAGATTCCCAGGGTGGAAAGGCTAATGCACCCTTTTTCTCTACTGCTTTTCCCTCTTGCTTGCAGATGGCTTGCATGTCTGGTATTTTTAGAAATTAATGTGAGGTCATAGTGTAATGTTTGTTTTTTTCCAATTACTCTAGTTGCTGATGTCTTTGAATATAAGTCATTGTGTTTGTGACCACCAGGTAGAAAGAGCTATTTATTAAACTGAAGCAAGCCAAGGAAATTATATTAGGTTCAATGGCGGAAAAGAGAGGTGGGAAAATCTTGTCAGAGCTGTATAGTGTGGTATTTATCCAGAAGCCACCCTAGTGACTATGAGTTGAGTCAGGACCCTGTCCTTCAGGACTGCCTTTTCCACATCTGTCAATCCATGGCTCCTGTTCCAGCTTTCTTCCCTTTTGATATCCCAGGTGACTTGTTCCACCTTCTTCCTATTTGTCATTTGTTCATTCAGTCATCTCAGCAAGAATGTACTTGGGTGTCTTGTGTGATGGCATTGTGCCTCAGGGAGCTGCAAGAGCACAAAATGAATAGATGTACCTCCGAGCCTTTCTACACACACACACACACACACACACACACACACACACACACACGCACACACACACACACACACACACACAGCAGGAAATAAACTAATATTAGGAAACTTGATAGTTAAAGTGCTGACAAGGCTCTGTTTAAATATGCACTTCACAGCTAAAAACACATAATTTTCAGACACTGCTGATGCCCACTTTGCAGATGAGAAAACTGGGGCTCAGAGGAGTTAAGAACCTGTCCAAGCTATCCCAGCCTAGGAGATGGCAGAGCCTGTGCTCATTACTAGTCTTCTTTACAGCAGGATAGTAACGTTTGGACACCAAACACCTTGCACCCTTTTGGGTGGCACTCTGGACCCCTTTACAGTTAGAGTGCAGACTTCTGTACAGTTTGTGAATTAGCAGGAAGGAGCTCAAGAACCCAGCAGACCAGGCCTCTTGTTTCTGGATGGAGGACAAGGGCTTCCACAAGGACACAGGGCTTATTAACAGCAGATCCTGGATCAGGGTCCTAGGTCCACCTTCCATTCAGTGTCCTCTCCAAATGCCTTGGGGCTGTTACTGTCCCATCTTTATCTGCTAGGACTGCTGTGGCCATCCACACTCCCTCTGGTATCTGGCATTGCTGCACCTCCAAGGTGTTCAGATCAATCTGGCTTCCGGGTATCTTTCCTAACTCTTTTGCAGAGCTTGTTGCTTGTAAGTAGTTTCTCTTTACATGTGATATGTCCCAAGACTCCAGGGGGTAGTTCCAAACCCCGTACATAGTATTTTTTTCCCCCTATACCTATGATAAAGTTAATTTTGAAATTAGGCACGGTAAGATGTTAACAACTATAACCTGTAACAAAATAGAATAATTCTAACAATATACTATAATAAAAGTTACATGAATGCACTCTCTTAAAGTATCAAATTGCACTGTGATACTTGACAATCAATCTGATGGCTGAGATGGCTACTAAGTGACTAATGTGATGACTAAGTGACTACTGGCACTGGGCTGGGCCCTGGGAGAGAATGGCCAGCAGATGGAGCCTGTTATTCCCTCTACCCGCTCTCCCAAGGCACACTCTTTCAGGGATGAAGGTGTAGCAGGAGTGGGGAGGGAATGTCCTCACTGGCACAAGAGCCTGCAGGGGGAGCAGATGTGCCTGGAAGGGGGACACTGTGGGCAAAGAAGGAGTTAGAGCACCTCAGAGCCCTTCTCCCATCTGCGCTTCTTAGGCTAGGCCAGGCTGCCTACTAGGAACCCAGTGTGTCACAGACGCAGGGGCTGTGGCCTCTAAGGTTGTCCAAATCTAGACCAGCCCCTTAGTCTAGATGAGCAAAGAGAACCTCAGAGAAGTGAAGAGAACAGCCCATGAGGAAATGGGCCAGAGGTTGGAAGTAGGGCCAGGCCTCCTGATTCACAAACCCATGTTCTTCCCACAATGCTATGTTTTTAGCAGAATAAAACAGAGTGGTCCAGGGACTTTTGCAATGCGGGGCTTAGCTATAGCTGCTCCTGAGCAAAGAGCCACAAACTCACCCAAGGGCTCACCCACCCCAGGGCAGCCTCCAGTCTGTCTGCTCAGAGTGAGTGAGCGTGGGACCCCATCCCTGCGTTACCCTCTGGAGACCTGCAGGGCCAGGATGGCAATCTTCCCAACTTGCTGTATCTGTAACAACTTTCCCATTCAGAGAAAAACAGCCAAGTGTAACAGTTTTTCTTATTTAGTATCTTTGATTTTAAAAAACAACAACAGAAGCAATGTGAAAACTATTGAGATAATATAAGGTAATGCAAAAATTAGAATTCCTACACCTCCACATTCCCAGTGACTAATCCTTGAATGTCTATCCTTTTTAAACAAAATTAAAAAAAAATTTTTTTTCTCGTGGTATTGGAGCTTTTTTTGCTTTTAGTTATTTTTTAATTTTTTGCTTTTAGTTATTTTTTAATTTTTTAAACAAAATTAAAAAAAAATTTTTTTTCTCGTGGTATTGGAGCTTTTTTGCTTTAGTTATTTTTGGGATAGGGTCTTGTGTTTGTACTCACATTAAGCTGGACTGCGATCCTTCTATTTGTGCTTCCTGCATAGCTGGGATGACATGCCCAGCACTGGTTGAGATGGAGGTTGGCCTTCAACTGTGATCCTTCCAATCTCTCCCTCCTGCTAGCTAGGATTACATGTATGAGCCACCAATGCCCAGCAAGGTTATCCTTCTCGATGTTTCTTTATTAATATACAAACAGAAATGGGCTCTTGCATAAGTAGTGGACTCACCACTTACAAATAAGATTTAAGTTCCAAAGAGGCACAGGTCACATTAGTCAGCATTATCCCTTGCATAGAAATGCCTTTTTTTTTTTTAAGCATTTTCTCCTTCTCATTTAGCCTTCGCTTTCTTTCCCTGGGGCTGTAGAAGCTGAGGCTTGGCTGGAGAGCTGGGAAGGTGATCAGGGGCTTTCTCTTTCTCTCTTTTTAAATAACGTCTTGCTATAGAGCTGCCATTCAGTTGGATTTGTGTGACGGGTGATATTTCTATGCCAGCTGTGAGCTGGAGACTGGGAGTCTGCTTTCCTCTCCATGGTATCCCCCAGAGAAATCTGTCTGCTGTGTGGCTAGGCAGGAGATGAATGAGTTGGCTCTGTCCCCCAGTGTGATCTGGAGGAAGCCACTTGCCCCTATGGGCCTCTGCTTCATTCTTGTCATAGAGCAGCCCCAGGTCTCAGGGGTGTGCAGGCTCCTGGCCTCATCCCACCTGTATGCTCTCTTGCAGGCAGTCCTGATCACATGGACCAAGCGGTTTAAAGCCAGTGGTGTGGAAGGGGCAGATGTGGTCAAACTCCTGGACAAAGCCATCAAGAAGCGAGGGGTAATTTCTCTCAGGCTATACAGAGCTGGGGTGTGTGTGTTTGGGGAAGCTGCTGTCTAAAATGGACTAACAGCCTTTCTGGAGGTCATGTCCAAAGACTCTGGCAGGGGAGGGGTGAGAGTACACAGCTCTGAAAGTTAGGGGTGGTTCAACATGGAGCTCTGAAGTGCTGCCTATAGGCACTGAGCCCGGGGCAGGGATCATCCTGATAGGACTGCTAGCTACAGGGATCCAATCACACTAGGATTAGAATAAGGACAGAGGGCCTTGAGCTTGCTAGCATTCTATCACTTAGGCCAACCCTTGCTTTAGTTATTTTTCAGGTGGGTCTCAGGTTTTTTCCCAAGGCTGGCCTGGACCAGAAAAAAATCCTCCTACCTATGGCCTCTACCATAGCTGGCCACCACCACACCCAACTCATTGATTGAGATGAGGTATCACTAACTTTTGGCCAGGGCTGGCCTTGAGTCAAGATCCTCTGGCTCTCCACCTCCAGAGTAACTAGGATTACAGGTGTGAGACACCACACCTAGTTGGAACTGCCTTTATGTAGGCATGTGGCTCTCATTTGCTGAGGAATGTGGCCCCATGAGTAAAATCCACTCCCCAAAGAACCCTAAGCCAGGTAATTAAAGGGACTGTGCAGTTTCCATAATGTAATCACTTCTCTCTAATCCAATTAATCTGAAGCCTGGCAGCAATGAAGCCTGCAGCACCACCCCACCCCACCCTGCCCCGCACAGTTGTGCTTATGAGAATTGGAGCATCCCTGCCAGGGGCTCCTGAGATTGGGGGGTTGTGCTCCCATGTGGGGTCGGATGGTGACTCCCCATTTGCTATCTGTCCCCAGGACTATGATGCCAACATTGTAGCTGTGGTGAACGACACGGTGGGGACCATGATGACCTGTGGCTATGATGACCAGCACTGTGAAGTCGGACTGATCATTGGTAACAACCCCTTGTGCTCAGCCAGTGTTTTGAGGAGATGCTGCTCCCCCCCTTGCATGGTCACAGCTTCCCACGTTGTCTCCCCCAGGGACTGGCACCAACGCTTGCTACATGGAGGAACTGAGGCACATCGACCTGGTGGAAGGTGACGAGGGGAGGATGTGCATCAACACCGAGTGGGGGGCCTTTGGGGATGACGGGTCCCTGGAAGATATCCGCACCGAGTTTGACAGAGAGCTGGACCGGGGGTCCCTCAACCCTGGAAAGCAGCTGTGAGTCCTTAACCTTCTCATTTAGCTGCATATATGACCTAGGGGATGCTTGATGAAAGATCGGGGTGGGGAGATGAAGAGAGCATAAAGCCAGGAGGTCACAAATGTACCCGCCCCTCAAATTTGCATAGTCTGTCTGTCACTCCTTGTTTGAATAGATGCATAGCTGTGGAGAGTCTGTAGCTTTAAAAGCAGTTTTTGAGTAACATCCTCTCTCTTTAAACTCCCTATGATTGTGTTCTTGTAAAACATTTTGAAAACTAAAAGCCCAGAAGCATTAGTGTAAATATAAGGTTTAAAAACATTTCTAGATGCTGTAGGCACTGGCATTTCTGCTCACGGTAAGGATGCCTGTCATGTGTGGCACCTCTCTTCAGCAGGGGAGTGAGTGTCCATTCGGTCACATTTTTATTAAGCATTTATTATGTGCTGAGCTCTGTGCTGGACTCCAGGGATCCAAAACAGTGCCTTCCCCACCAGCACTTACCATCTAGATGGGAAGGTGGGTGACACGTGCAAATGGCTTGTGCAGAGGATGGTGTGAGAACCGTCCAAATCAAATAGATCTCAGGGAGAATGGAGAAATTTCTCCTGTGTTAAGCACAGAATGGACCAGAATTGATAAAGAACATCAGATGTAGCCATGCATGGTGGTGCACACCCATAATCCCAGCACTGAGGAGGCTGAGGTGGGAGGATGGTGAGTTCCAGCCCCTGCTGGGCTACATAGTGAGAATCTAACCCATTTGAAAAAAAACAAATTAGACTTATGGGCAAGTAGATGTTGGCCTTGGTCTTGGAGATTCCTGCTGCAGCGGTAAGTGGCGTCATTTACACCAGGGCGGGCATTGCTTTCTCTGAGTCACTAATTTGTTAAAGTGCACAAGCACATTTCTCTGCAATGCTAGCATGTAGCTCTCATGGATCTCCCAGCTTCCCAGAAGCCTTATCTTGGGGTCAGGTGCTATCAGGCTACAGAGCTAGGTTCACTGACCTATCTCAGGCTCTTGTTTGTATTCTTAGCCCTACTGTGAGAGCCTCACATAGCTTGAATGTAAACCTGGACTTCTCTGCCGGATTAATGTATTTCTGTATCCCAGGTGGTATTGTGAACGGGGCTCACCATTGGTTTGCAATCAGAATTCTTGGGATGGTGGATGGATGGCAGGTGGGTGGATAAGTGATGTGGATGGATGAGAGCATGAAAGGTGGAGTGAAGTCTGTTTTCCCCAACACACTTCTCTTTGCTGGTTACAGTAGTCAGGTCTCATCAAGAATAATTCCAGCCAGATGAGGAATTCTTGGATTGTATCACATATTCCTGGAAATAGGCTATTGATCCAAGTTTTTTGCTCAAGCGTATTTTTGCCATTCTGGCTCCAATCTAAATTGTTGGGTCTTCCCTGTGTCTTTCTTCCATGGAGTGCCAAGTTCTTCAGAGCCATCTTGTCCCTAGCCCTGTGTGCTAGGGAAGGGTGTGTGCTCCATTTGACTGATAGGAACACTAAGGACCTGAAATAGGATAAAGCTGGCCTGAGACTCTGCTCAGGTTGATCTGGTGCAGGTTTGGAGTTTTCTGCTTTGTTTGAAAGTTTGAGGTTTTCCGAGCGAAACTATTGAGATGCCTTAACAGTTACAGACAGACCCCATCAGGAGTGGTCTTGGGGGGTGATTTTCCATTTGGAGTACACATAAGAATTAGATAAGGGCCTTTTAAAAACACTGATGCCCAGACACCCTCTCACACCCTCACCACACCTCCCAATTCTAGTTCATTGTCTTGCTGGCTGTCCCCAGTGCTGTGGAAGCTCCGGGTGATTCCAGTTTTTTTTTTTTTTGGTGGGTCTGGGGTTTGAACTCAGGGCTTCAAACTTGCAAAGCAGGTGCTCTACTGCTTGAGCCACACCTCCAGTGTATTTTGCTGTGGTTATTTGGAGATGGTACTCTCACAAACTGTTTGCCTGGCTGACCTTGAACTGTGATCCTCCTGATCTCAGCCTCAAAAGTAGCTTACAGCCGTGAGCCACTGGCACCCTACTCGATTCCAGTTTTAACCAGGGTTGGAAACTTAAGTGTGTCAGAGGTGTGTTGAGGTACTCTTATGTCAAGGTGGGGTCTAGACCACTGCATACCCACTCATTTTGTTTGAAGTTACCATTTACTGACTACCTACTGTGTACATTGGTGGAACGTACTGTCACAATAGTTATGTGGCTTATGTCTTCTCTGCTCTCACTGATGATTGGTGGAGGTAGTGGGGGAAGATCCTGGTTATTCAGGACCCAGCCTTGCCCCAGAACTAGGTGGTCTCTCTGCAAAAGGCTTCCTTCCTACTGCATTCCAGGCCTTTGATATTTTTATCTTCTACAGGGAAACTAGATTTGGGGCCTTCCTTCCTTCCTTCCTTCCTTCCTTCCTTCCTTCTTCTTACCTCTCTCCCTCCCTTCCTTCCTTCTTACCTCCCTCCCTCCCTCCCTCCCTCCTTCTTTCCTTCCTTTTCTGTTTTTTGTTTTTTGAGACAGGCTGTCAATATATAGCTCAAGCTAGCCTTGAACCTGCTATGTAGCCCAGGCTGGACTTGTGATCCTCTTGCCTTTGCCTTCCAGGTGTTAGGATTATAGGCCTGTGCCACCATGCCTGTTCCTTTCTTTTTTTGGAATACTGGGATTTGAACCCTTTTTTGTGAAGGGTTTTTTTGAGATAGGTCTCGTGAACTATTTGCCTGGGCTCGCTTCAAAACCACTTTCCTCTGATTTCTACCTCCTGAGTAGCTAAAGGCTACTTCTTTCATTTTTAATTTTCTTTCTCCTTCTCTCCTGTCTTCTTGGGTCTCTTGCTGTTCTGCTCTCCATATTGTGTCTGGAATCTCAAATCCCATTTCCCTGGGACTCCTTATCACATCTTTCAGAATGTCAGGAGACACCAACCCACACAACAGCAACAACAGTGACCACACCAAAGACATGGTCGGTGAAAGGAATTCTTTGGCCTGGATGGTAGTGGAGCAATTGCACACATTTTCAAGTCAGCCCCCTGTTCTAGGATGCTTGGCCATAGGCCTCTCATTTCTTTTCTTTCCCCAGCTGCCAGTTGTACTGACCGTGCTGCCAAGGGAACTTGTAATTGGCATGCAGGCCCTTGCTCACGATCACCAACACATCTCAGCTGTGCCTGGGTCCACCAGCAGGCAGGAGGGAGAACACACCCCACAGCGCTGCCTCCCACTTCTGGTCCATGGCAGAAGGCATCTGACCGCTGAGAGGCAGATTTCACTGGGGCAGAAGGGAAGCATGTGGGTGGAGAGGGAGCCTGTCTCCATGAGCCTTTGGTTTGAACAAAGTGGGGCTCGGCAGAGGCACTGAAGATTGTTCTGTGGCTCAACGGGGACGCTAGGGACTGGGAAAAGACAGAATCCTGGACTGGGCCTGCTTTATCTGGAAAAATGGTGTCAGGAAATGGGTGTGTGAGAGACCATTGTGTAGCAAAGGAGTGGCTCATTCTGGGTGTCATTAGATAATGCAAAGCCATAAGTAATGGAAGAGGGAGCCAGGAGGTTGGGCTTAGCTATCTCTTATTGTCATAGTGCCCAAGGGAGGGACAGGCTGCCTAGGGTGGTAGTGAGCTAGAGGAGGACAAACAGAAGCTGGGTGAAGGAGGGGACTAGGTGTCTACTGGGATGACAGGACTAGCTAATATTGAATGACACTGTCCATGGGACAGGCAGAGCAGCACACTGGTTAGGGCATAGCCTCCGGTATTCAGTTTAACTGGGTTCAAAAATGTGGGTTTGCCACTTGTTAGCTCTGTCCAAGGACTAGTTGTGTAGCCTCTCTGTGCCTCAGAAAGGAAATGGGGATAATGCTAACATCTACCTCACAGAGTTGTAATGAGGATAAAATAAGTTAGTAAATGTACAGAGCTTAGAAGGGTCATAAACGCTCATTATTAGCCAAATGCCACAGTACTTGGTCTGTATGCACCCATGTCCTCTGTACAACCTTGTGGGAAGGCCTTGCTATTATACCCATTACAAGTAAGGAGACAGAGGCCCAGAGAAGTGAGGAGCCCAGTCGCAGCAGAGTCAGGGGAGAGCCTGGCAAGCGGGCTCTCCGCACAGCTCCTGCCAGCTGGAGATTCCAGTCAGGCTCTGGGCTCTGCAGGGGCCTGTCCCCACAAGAGCCTGGGGCAGCAGCCTGGCAGCTGGGACTGAGGGCACTCTTCTGCCAGGGGTCCTCCACTGGCCATGGCTGGGCAGTCCTGTCTGGTCCTGCCAGGAGCAGGAACAATGAAGTCTGTGTTTCTAACGAAGTTCTGCACAGAGTTGACAGGCGAGGCTGGGTGCACAGCTCCCAACACCATCTTTGGCTGCTGGGCGGCCCTGACTGGAACAGATTGTTTTGCTGTGTCACTGCCAGGTCTGGGGGTGCCAGCTGGCTCCCTCAGAGGAGAGGCCTCTGTGTGGGTCTCCCTCTTTGATCAACACTGCTCTGGGGTTGCTCCTGACCCCTGGTCAGCCAGGACTCACTGAATCTGGCTCAGATATATCATCAAGCCCCAGTTCACTGCCCTGGACTGGGCCTTTCCATCTTGCCTCCACGTGGCCACCTCTTCCCTGCAGCACGGGGCCCAAAGTGGCTGCTGTAGTTACAGTGCCACACTTCACATCACACTCCCCTGGGAGGGGTGAGAAAGCTGGTTCATTCTGGGATTGGTCCCTTCCTGAATGTGGTCAGAGCAATGGAATGAGCTGACTGGCCTTCAGCCACTCAGAGCCCATCTCTGTAGGTTAGGGTGAGGTCAGTAGTTAGCAGTGGGTTTCTCAAATCAAATTCTTGGTCATTTTGGATGGAAAAGAGAAAATGGAGATACTAAGGCTATGATCAACAGTGGCCCCATAGTGAGCGGCTGCCTTTCTGGAACTGACAGCTCTTTAAAAAGCAGGCCAGTACTGCCAAAAAAAAAAAAAAGAAAGAAAGAAAAAAAGAAAAAGTGGACGTGGCAGGTGCCAGTAGCTCACACCTGTAAATCCTACCTTCTAAGGAGGCTGAAATTGAGAGGATTGAGGTCAAGGCCAGTCTGGGCAAATAGTTCATGAGACCCCCATCTCCAAAATAACCAGAGCAAAATGGATGGGAGGCTTGGTTCAATCAGTAGAGCACCTGCTTTACAAGTGCAAAGCCCTGAGTTCAAACCCCAGTCCCACCAAAAAAAGGAAAAGAAAAAAAAAGTAGGAGAATTGTTCAAATGGTAGAGTGCCTGCTTAGCAAGCACAATGTCCTGAGTTCAAAGTCCATTACTGCCCCCTAAAAATCAGTGTAACATAAGGCTGGGCATGGTGGTGTATGCTTGCAATCCCAGCACTCAGGAGGCTGAGGGCAGACCAACCTGGGCTATGTAGTGAGACCCTGTCTCCAGAAAGAACAACAGCAGCAGCAGCAAAGCCCAAAAACTACAGCATTTGGCTTTGTAAGAGACGATGTTGATCTGCTCATTAGTCCGGGAGCCTTTTCATTGTCATCCTTAATCTTTTTTTTTTTTTTTTTTGGTGGTTCTGGGGTGTGATCTCAGGGCCTCTCGCTTTCTAGGCAAGTGCTCTATCACTTGAACCACACCACCAGCCCAAAAATGTAGCCCAGATTGGCCTTGAACTTGCGATCCTCCTGCCTCATCCTCTTCGTCTGGTTGATTTCCTGTGTGTACCATGACCAGCTGTCATCGCAATCTAAGTGCTAACATTCTCCCACTCCAGGCAGCTTTCACTGCCTGCTACAGCAACACGGTACTCCCCACCCCAGCACAGGCATGGGGTCTGGGTGACCTGCCCTCTCTGAAGTTGGCATCCTGTCCCTGTTGCTGAATCACAAAAGCATGATCTTAGAGCCTGCAAGACTGGGAGCTCATGAGGCATGAGGTGGCCTTCTCTCCTTTCGTGTCTGTCCCCTCCCATATGTTGCCCCAGCATTGGTACAGGGAAGTTCTGACAGGTGTCCTGTGTGTTCCTCCTGCAGGTTTGAGAAGATGGTCAGCGGCATGTACCTGGGGGAGCTGGTCCGCCTCATCCTGGTCAAGATGGCCAAAGAGGGCCTCTTATTTGAAGGGCGGATCACCCCGGAGCTGCTCACGAGGGGGAAGTTTAACACCAGTGATGTGTCAGCCATAGAAAAGTAGGTCCTATTCCAGAGGCCTGGCAGTGGAGGGGACAGAGGAAGGAGGCAGGCCCTCATTACTTCTTGGGTCTAAGTGTAAGGGGCTTTCTAGGTCCATCTCCCCTCACTCCTAGCCTACCCATCTGCTGTCTCCCAGCAGCCCTTGTGGCAGGTCATTTAAGAACAGCTTAATCACAGATACTTCATATATGATTTTCCTGTCTAGTTAGGAAGGCAGCCCTACCTCCAGCTTCTCACTCCCCACCCCCAATCCATAAGATGAGAATTCAGGGAGCAGATGAATCTAGTGTTGAGTGAGCGGTTGTCTAAGCCTGGGCCTGGGTTCTTGGAATTCCCTCTTGGTATCTCATGACCTTCTCCAGGCTATGTTCCAAGGAGCCCTAAGGCCTCAAGGTAATAATTGGGTGGTTCTGTGGGAAGTGCTGCCTTATTTAGCTTCCTTTCAGAGAGGCACAATATTCATTAGCATGCTAAAGAAATCCCAGTTCACTTGGGTTAATGCATCATTCCCAAACTCCTTTTATACCCTGAGCTCCTCATATTTTTAGGAAACCCCTATAAACAGCCAGAAATGTTCCGTAACAGCAGGTTTGAGATATTGGTTAACAGATGAGACTGGATAGATAGTTGTAGGAGGACAGAGTCCAACCCACAGCCTGACTGCTGCCCTTAGGGTCCAATGAAACACTCCAAATTTGCTGTCTTGACTGTTAGTCACAGGCCTTCGCTCTGTAAGGATGTAAGTAAGCTTAGTCCCAGTGGCCATGTGGTTTAATCTAGTGCCTCCGAGTCTAAAAGACTCTTTCTTGTGGTTGGCTTGTGTTATAATAAAAGCTGTCTCCAAACAGCACCCTGTAAGGGCAGGTATCAGACACATTCTCCCTAAAATCAGATAGCATCACCCGTTTCTATTTGGCCTTTTGCTGGAATCATAGCCAGTGTGTTTAAGAGGAAAGAAAATACATTAAAGGCATAAGAAAAAAAAAAGGAAGTAATGTTTGTTGTCTGCAAGTGGTAAATGCCTCTTGGAGCACAAAAAATTATCTCTGGACAAATGATCGCATAACAGGAGAGGTTAGAAGAGTATCTGGAGGTAGATAGAAAAGTCTGTTACATTTCTTTCTATTCTTAATCAGCAGAGTATGTATAGATTCTTTAAATAAACTTATTTTAGAATAATTTTAGAGTTACAGAAAAACTGCAATGTAGTATATTCCTCTCAGGTTCCCCCACTGTTAACAACATGATGCTACACAGGGGAGAGAGAGAGGGGAGGGGAGAGGAGGGGAGGGAAATTTTGAAACATACCACATATAACTATCAGGAAGGATATGTAAGGACTGCCCCAGGCTTCACAGGTACCGAGTCCTGGAAGCACTTACTTCTCCACTTGCTCAGAGGCCACACGGTCTCACCTCTCCACTTCTTTCTGTGTGCCTGGCATGTCCTAATCCAGCCTGGTGCAGCCTTTCCTAGGACTGGTTGATTCCTCATGGGGGGCACCCTCCTCAGGCACTTGACCATCTCAATCACAGGCCGCACACATGTGGTCCCACCTTCCCTGTCCCTTTGAGCTCCAGGGCTTTGCACTGCTTGATGTAGTCCTTAACAAGTCTTGGCCTCCACCCTCACAGGAATAAGGAAGGCCTCCACAATGCCAAAGAGATCCTGACCCGCCTGGGAGTGGAACCATCTGATGACGACTGTATTTCAGTCCAGCATGTATGCACCATTGTCACGTTTCGCTCGGCCAACCTGGTGGCTGCTACACTGAGTGCCATCCTGAATCGTCTTCGTGATAACAAAGGCACGCCCAGGCTGCGGACCACGGTTGGTGTGGACGGCTCTCTTTACAAGACGCACCCACAGTGAGTCTGCCCTTCGCTCTGGTTGGCTCTCAGTCCCCATGAGGCTAAAGCCCTTCTCCAGAGGTCAGATTTCTGCACACAGATGTGACAGTGCCTGCTGCTGGGCAGAAAGATTAGAGTTACTCATTTGGTTTTTGGTTTTGGGTTTTTTTGAGACAGCATCTTACTCTGTAGCCCAGGCTGGCGTGGAGCTCAAAATCCTCCTGTCTCAGCCTCCTGAGTGCTGGGATTATAAGCATGCACCAAAATGCCTGGCTGAATTGCCCATTTGGGAAGTCTCACCCTCAGATTCTCATTGGTGTGGCTTCTATACTCCACTGTTCTCTGTCCTCATTTCAAAACTCTCGTTAGACATTTCTGTAGCTGCTAGGAGTGTTGGGGGCAAGGTCTGCAGCCTGTCTGTATCTCATCAGTACGAACTCCATCCCCATTACAACTTGGGTCATCGGTGTATACCCACACCAATGGGGTATACACCATTTTATCAGAAGCTCCTGATAAAATCTGACAAATCCTCGAACACTGCTTTTTTTTAAATGGAATTGGGTGACTTGTTGACTCTTGGCATCTGAGAGCCAGAGAGACATGAGCAGTGGGTAATCCCCATTGATGAGGGGGCTCTGTTCACTAGGCTGCTTTCTTATCTGCCTGAGCCTGTCCAGTGCTGGGCCAACCTTGTCAGAGGCATCCTTTGCCAGTGAGAGCATGGGTGGAGCCTCTTTGAATGACTGAAAGGAAATTCTGAGTTTATTTGATGGTCACCTGGTGTGGATGTGGTGGACTCACCTGTTTTTGGATTGGTCGCTTTGAAGCACTCTGTGCTATTGACCACTGTGATCTATTTCTCCTAACACAGTGGAGGACAAAATCTTTTTGGACCTTGGATTTTTTGTACTCAGTTTGACAGAATTATGAGATTATTCTCTTTTGACGTGGGATGGAGGGTGATTCAATTTTCCCTTTTTACTTGTCTGCACCTTTTCTACAGAGAATGTATAGGACTTATGTAACGACAAAAAGCTAGTGTAAAGAATGGAATTAAAATGTGGTGAGAGAAAGGGGTGCCTGCAGCCCCCAACAGGCGGCTCAGCCCACCCGCCCCCTCTCCCCAGGTATGCCCGGCGTTTCCACAAGACCCTGAGGCGCCTGGTGCCCGACACCGATGTGCGCTTCCTCCTCTCGGAGAGTGGCAGTGGCAAGGGGGCCGCTATGGTGACCGCGGTGGCCTACCGTCTGGCTGAGCAGCATCGGCAGATAGAGGAGACCCTGGCCCACTTCCACCTCACCAAGCAGATGCTTTTGGAGGTGAAGAGGAGGATGCGGGAGGAGATGGAGACAGGGCTGAGGAAGGCGACAAACGATAAGGCTGTGGTCAAGATGCTGCCTTCCTTTGTCCGGAGCACGCCAGACGGGACTGGTAAGGACCTGTGGGCTGCATGCTGAGACCCACGCATGGTGGCCTGGGAGGAGTTGGGTTCTTCAGTAGACACCTTTGCACTGGCAGAGCATATTTGACAGGGGCTGGAGACTCACTCACCCTGTTTCCATCGTTATCACTGACTTGTCTTGTGTGTGGCTTGGGGCAAGTAAATTCCACTGGTTGGCTCTCCCAGGCTAGCGCTGTCTCTGCAACCATGTTAGAATGCACACTTTAAATGGGGAGTGAGAGTTTGTCTCATAAACGTGACAGCCCAACAGAACAATTAACATGGAAGGCTCCCATCACCAGTCTGGCAGGGCGTGTGTGAGGGAGACTAGGGCCTGGCATTTCTCATGCCTCGGCAATCGGAGAATAGCATGGAGTCAGATATAATCTCACCTCGCTTGCTCTCTTTGGAGCTGAGCTCTGTGGAGACTCTGAAAAACATTTTGGGTGGATCCTGGGAATAATGCATGTTTGTGAAATGCATATGTTACTTCTTACCGCATTATAAACCACTCTCAACCTTAGTGGCATGAAGCAGCAGCCATTTATGATTGCCCACAAGTCTGTGGTCAGCTGATTTCTACTGGACTCGTTCCTGATCTGCAGTCAGTCACTTGGTGGTCAGCTGGGAGGCTGATTGCAGTCTGTCTGAGTGCTGGGGTACAGGGGTGCCCAGCCATGTGCCTCATCCTCCTGTGGGGCCCTGGGCTTGGGCTGTTCCGTGGTAGTAGGAGATTCCCCAGGGATGGGGAAGATCTCAAAGCCTCTTGGAGGACAAGGCTGAGGACTACTCAGCTTTGCTTCTGCCGCATTCTTTTGGCCAAAGATCCAAGAGGAGGAGACACAGACTCCATCTTTTGGTTGGAGGAACTACAGAGCCACATTGCAAAGGAGGACGGGTAGAGGAAAGAGAAGGATTAGGGCCATTTTAACAAGCTCTGTGTATTGACATAAATTATTCATTTTTTATATGAGGCTCCCTAAAATCAGGGCACTGTTACCAGACTTTTTTTTAAAATTTTAGTTTATTGTTGTTCTGAGTAGGGGTACATTGTGGCATTTACAAATGTTCTTACAATGTATCAAATGTATCATACTTTAATTCACCCCCTCCACCATTCTCCTTCATACCCCTTCCGTTGCCAGGCTTTTTTTTGACCTGCTGGAGTTCATTTATTGTGACAGGTAGCTCACTCATGGGAACTTTTGACCTTCCCATGTGGCCCAGTGTGTGTCAGTGGGTAGCAGCTACCCCTCCTCTGAGCCTGTGCTGTGTACTGGAGGGGAAGGTACAGTTTCTCCCCTTGCAAGTCTCAGGTCATGGGGTTGTCTGCCAAGTGGCACTTAGCTATTTGTGGCATTCTTTGTGTTCTTCACTGTTAACAGAGCATGGTGACTTCTTGGCCCTGGATCTTGGAGGAACGAATTTCCGTGTCCTGCTGGTGAAAATTCGTAGTGGGAAAAAGAGAACGGTGGAAATGCACAACAAGATCTATGCCATTCCCATTGAGATCATGCAGGGTACTGGGGAAGAGGTGAGGCAGCTCCGCTCTTGCACCATGTAACCCGTGTGTCTCCCACGATGACCAGAACTGCCGAGTGATTCCCATAGCCTGCATTCATGACCTTGTGGCCTAAGAGCATGGGGTACTGTCAGCCATGCCTTGCCTATGTGCTGTGCTGTGCCGTGGGAAGATCCTGGAGAAAGGGGCTCAGTCTGCCCATGTCAGGGTGTGCGTGTGCATGTGCACTTGTGCGTGAAAGTATGGAACCAGAGAGAGCCTGGGAAATCTCTTCTTGTCTCCTAAAGCTTTTTGACCACATCGTCTCCTGCATCTCCGACTTCCTGGACTACATGGGGATAAAAGGCCCCCGAATGCCTTTGGGCTTTACTTTCTCATTTCCCTGCAAGCAGACAAGTCTGGATGCGGTGAGTCTCTTTCCTCCACATACCAGATTTCAGACGCCCAGGTCCCGTGTGCCATGGTGGGCTGAACCTTGAGGCCTTCTCCAGCCTAGATATCTGGAACTGTCTCACGTGCTACAGTGGGTGGACTCAGGCTTTATTTCACCCTCCAGCACATCTTTTTGCTTTTTGCTTTTTTGATGGTACCGGGGTTTGAACTCAGAGGCAGGCATTCTATCACTTGAGCCACTCTGCCAGCCTAACACATCTTTCATGGCTAAAAGCAGTCAGCTCTTCTGCAAAGCCTCCAGCATAATGAACCTCACCCTCTTCTGCCTTCCCTGCTCCCTTGATCATTGCTGTGATTGTAGGACTCTCTGTAGTAGCTGTGCCATTCTCTTTGGCTCGTCTTATGCTATGAGCAAGGACCTGTATGCCCATAGCCCTAGCTGTGTTCTGTCAGCAGAGATCCTTAATACTCGCTCAGTGAATGGAATGAAACAGGGTCCAAGCTGAGGGTTGAGTACATGCTTAGGCACAGAGCGGAAGGTTACAAATGTTGTCCTGCAGCACAAAGGGCTAGGGGTGGTGTGAGGTGGGCATATTGTGTGCAGAGCCATCGAGGCAAGGACCAGCCTGTCCGTTGGCAGAGCCACAGGTAGCTCTATGTGGCACAAGTGGAGGCATGGCTAGAGAACAGGCCTCAGGCCAGGGTTTAGACAGCACTGGGAGAGCCAGGCAAGGTAATGTAAAGCAGTCATGGTGCTGGTGCCCCTCCTCTACTCCAAGCCCTTCTAGATCTCAGCTGTTGAATCTACAAAGCTTGTTTTATTTTCTTATTTGCAGTTTTTAAAGGTCTAGTGATTTTTTTGAAAAGCAGGGTGCTCATCCCATTACCTTGTATTCATCACAGTGAGCGCATACACCTGCGGTACAGGTTTCCTAGCAAGTGTATAGCTGCAGTTCAATGAAACCTAAAGTTTACTTGAGGTAGTAATTATGTTACTAAAATGTTGTGTTCCTTCAGTTATATAGTCAGCAAGCTGTTTTTCCGCTGAACTAGTTGTTCTTAACCACTGGCAGCACCAGCCTAAGAATTATGCTTAAATATTGTTCAGTGTTTGCCATTTTCCTTTCTTTCCCTTTCTCTTATCAAATTTTTTTGTGGTGCTGGGGATTGAACTCAAGGTCTTGTGCATGCTAGGCAAGCTTTTTACCACTGAGCTGCACCCTCAGCCCCAGTATTACCACTTTCTGAGGGAGTTGGACTTACCTATTAATGTTATATGCCTCAGTTTCTCCATCTGTGTATACACAGATGTATACAGCTGTGAGTATAGTGGGCAGGGAGGGGTGCAGTCTTCCATTCAAATTTTATTGCTTTGCTGCTCTGTTGGTGGCACATTGTCTGCAAGCAAGGTCTCTGCAGCTATCAGAGGGAGGAGGGAGGATGTGACATTGAATTTTGTCCAGAAGTGTTAATAACCAAGGCTGTCTTTCATGTTTCAGGGAATCCTGGTTACCTGGACCAAGGGTTTTAAGGCAACTGACTGTGTGGGTCACGATGTAGCCACCTTACTGAGAGATGCAATAAAAAGGAGAGAGGTAACTACTATAAAAATGTTTTAAGAACTCTTTACTGCTTTCTGGTTTATAAAAGTTGTACTTTTTGATGTACAGAAATGGAACAAGGCAAAAGCTTGTGACTTGGGTAATAAAAGTTCCCTATTTCCTCACTCCGCTGCCAGCAGTAGAACCAGGGTTAACAGTCTTACATTGTAAAAGGATGAAAAAAAAATTTTTTTTTTGAAACAGGGTCTTTCCCTGTGGCCCAGACTGGCCTAAACTCGTGATCCTCTTGCCTCAGCCACCCGAGTGCTGGGATTATGGGTGTACACTACTACACCTGTCTCTAGGATGCAATTTTTAGAACAGAAAATGAAATCGTGACTCTCTTAGGAATGCAGTAAGAGGGAAGCAGCCCTTGACAGCTTCACAAAACCTGGCACTACCAGCTGGGCTGTGATGTTCTATCGAACACGGTTTCCTAGAGGCAAGCATCAGACATGGCCGCCCTTTTGCATGATGGATCTAGACAAGAGTGGGACCACCCCATAATCATGTCAGAACTCAGAACACACTCATGGAATCCACCCTGCTTCCTGACAACATCTGATCCAGAACGAAGTCCCAGTGGTTTTCTGGTTATGTGCAGTAGAATGAACCAGCAGGATTCAAGCTAGGCCAAGCTGTCCCTTCTCTAAAGCCATGTCCCTTTCTTTTCAAAGGAATTTGACCTGGATGTGGTGGCTATGGTCAATGACACAGTGGGCACTATGATGACCTGTGCTTATGAGGAGCCCTCGTGTGAGATTGGACTTATCGTAGGTGGGTGTCCTGGAAAGTATCTCTTCTTGGGAAGGGAGAGCTGGCTCTTCCTGTTTTGTGTGGCCTGGGTCCCCACAAAACAGTCCTTGGCATGAGACAGTTGACCTGTTAGTACCATCCCTTTACCACCTCCAGAGGTTAGTGCTGAACTAAAGCATCAGCGTTCGCCAGGGGGCTTCCCCACACTCTCACATTGCTGTGCATTGATTGCGATCAGACTGTCAGTAACACAGCTCTCCGGAATGAGGCCACAAAGGACTCAAGGCACGTGGTACCTGCAGCTGGCTTGGCCATAGGGCAACCCAACCCTGGGTAGGTGTTGCAGGGTGGGATAGGGATGGAAAGTGTTACGGAGAAAAGGGAAGGACAAATCACACAGACTCGAGATCTAGGACAAAGGCATTTCAAGGGATCTCACAAAAGGAGTCTTGACAAGGTAGAAGTTTGGCAAAGATTTATTTTAGTAAAACAGGATAAAGTAGGGGGAACTAGGAAAGCAGGAGAGAAGCGTTTCCTGCTCATACACAGAAGCTGGGACTGAGAAAGACTCAAAATGATGTTGACTGGGCTCTTAATATTTTCTGAGCTAGGAGAAGGGCCCCGTTTTTATAACCGACATCTGTAGACTACTTGGACAGAGAAGAATGTCACCCCTGCCTCTGGGCCATTTGCTCAGCATCAGGAGATTGAATGGGCCCTGCTGGTGTTATCAAACCACTTTTGTCCTCTGCTGAAATTTAGAAAACCAGGAAGCAGCTCCAGGTGGAAGGTCATTTAGGGCCTGGTTCTGGGGCTTTATTATTTTCTTCCTTCCTTTGGCAAAGCTTTCTTCACTCAGCCCCTCCCTTTCTTCTGCCTATGACTGGGCTTAGGTGGGACACGCAAAAACAGAGTGACACAGCACACTCTCTTCCAGGCCAAGCCTCACGTTCCTGCCTGGGAGGTCAGGCCCTGCCCAACTGAGCACAGCACTGTTAAATGTCCTGGGCACCAGGATCAGCTAGTTTTTTTCTTTTTTCCATCAACTGATCTTCTTTGCTCAGAACTCCCAGGGCAAGAAGAATGGTGGTTTACCTATTTAAGCTTCCTTTGCACCGCCTCCCCTTTTTTTTCCAGAGCTAATCTTTCTGTCAGTTTTGTACTTTGGGTAAAAGGAAGCTGAGAAAACCCCCAAATAATCCAATGGCTGGGTCAGAAGTGTCCACGAATTCTACTTAAGTTTCTTCAAAGAGGACATAAAGGGTCAGGTGTTTTTGGTCTGGCTGGGGGAATGTTCTTGAATCGTCCTAACATGTTGAAAGTTCATCCACATCCCATCTAGGATGAGGTACCATACCAGGGCCTTGCTACAGAATATATGGTCCCTGGGCCAGCAGAATCTGTGTCACCTGGGAGCTGGTTCAGAAAGCGCTGTAAATGCCTCATCTTGGTTTACTTCAGCTCCTTTAGACTAGGGAGTGGAAAGCAAAGGCTCTGAGCCCAGATCACCAGTGTGCATGTGTGGGTACGCCAAGGGAAAGTCCCTTTCTCAGAGTCATCAGATTTTCAGAAGTCTGTGGTACTGAAAGGTGAGGAACCATTGCTTCAGAAAGGTGAGCTTCTTTCCACATATAGGAGAGTTTGTTGAGCAGGCATAGTGCCTGACCACCTTTGACACGAAAACATAAGTAGACACCCATGGCATGGTAGTAGATGGTCCCCTAGTATGATGTGTGTGTGTGTGTGTGTGTGTGTGTGTGTGTGTGTGGACACATGTATTGTGGTATAAGTATACATACGGTTATCTGTGTGTATACGTGTTTATTTTTTCTTCCAATCTGAATATTGCTTATACTTTTGCCACTTGAGATACTTTCCTTTATTGTAAGTCCATCTGCTGTTAGCACAAATATAGCCCTGCCTGCACAGGTCAACATGTGAGACTCTTGGCATGAGTGGGTTAATTGAATGCTCTCTGTGTGGTTAAACTCGGATTCTCCAGTTATATTTGGCTTTTCGTGGATAACACTAGGAAATAAAAGCAACTGCTTTTTCATCTCAAAGACGGTCTCCTCATCTGTGGAGCCCCAGACCTTAGGCCTGACCATTCACCGCCCTCCTCTTCTGTGTTGCAGGGACGGGTTGCAATGCCTGCTACATGGAGGAAATGAAGAACATTGAGATGGTGGAGGGGGACCAGGGACAAATGTGCATCAACATGGAGTGGGGTGCCTTTGGAGACAATGGGTGTCTGGATGATATCAGAACTGAATATGACAGATTGGTGGATGAATTCTCTCTAAACGCTGGGAAGCAAAGGTACTGCCTGGTCAGGAGGCACCTAAGGGTCAGGACAGGGGAGCATTTAGCTGCATTCTGCCTTTTGCAGTGGAAGATGTTTCTAGTAGGAGTGAGGTCTGGATAGAGGTTGGAAAACAGTCCTCGTGATTCACTCCTGACCTTGGCTTTTGGCTTAGGGACAGCAGAAAAGCAGGAGGATGGGCTGTAGATATGGTATAGGATGACTCTAGGATATGCCTAGAGGACAGGCAACAGTGGGCACACTGCCCCTGTGGCCTTTTTCAGCTTGGAAGAGTTTGGCCTTCTTGCTGTGTCTTCCCCTTCAGAATAATATGAAGTGGGTGTGGGAGTGGGAGGCTGGGTGGGGGGTGGGGAGTGGATGGTAGGGGGTGGAGATTGAGAGAAGTGGGCAGTGAAAGTGGTGAAGCAGAGGCCTTTTCTCAGTGTACCCTTCCCACCACGAACTCCTGCACCTCCTACTGGCTATTTGGAGCTTTGCAGCTCAGGTCTCAGGGACCATGTGTGAAATAAGACAAATGACCCTTTGTCCCAAGTCCCTAGCAACCAGACCATTCAATACCATGGCCAGGACAAGCTGGTCCAAGTCATGTCCCCTGGATCAGAGAGATGGACTACAGTTTGACCTTAGGAATGTTGTGGCCTCCTGAATTTCCCTGGCTACATGGCCTTATCACTCTTATGTACTGTGCTTGACCAGTACTTTGGATGTTTGCAAAACCTTCAAAAAATTGAGGAGCTTTCCTTTGTTGTGTAGTTGTCCTGTGAAGACTCAGACTGGTCATTTGTTTTTCGTGGCTGTGTACTGAGTACTTTGCAGAGGGCTCACACCATGCTGTGCTGTGCCCTGGGACTCAGCGCTGTGAGATGCACACTCCTTTTCCTCGGGGATGGCCATCACTGCAGTGGTGATGAGAGGCAGTGAGCGTCTGTGTTGCAAAGGAGAAGGGAGAGGTGTGAGGAAGCCTGGAACAGTCAGGTACAGCCAGTCTAGGGACACACCACAGGCCTCTGGGGAGTGGGCATTTGGCCTAAAGCTCAACCAGGCAAAGGCAGGAAGTCAATGAGGGAGGGAGACCATCTAGCAGGTAGCTAGGACTACTGAGGGATTTGTGTCTATGAGGGGAGGGTGGATGGTTCTCTGGTCCTTCCTGGACCCTCTTTCAGCCTCCGTGGGCACCACAGGGCAGGCATGTGGCTGTGATGATGTCCTTTTGGGGCAGAAAGAAATCTGGAGTGACTGTGAGACCACAGGCTGGTGATCTTCCTGGTCACTTGGCATAGACACCCCAGACCCCTCGTCCTCTCAGGTATGAGAAGATGATCAGTGGTATGTACCTGGGTGAAATCGTCCGCAACATTCTCATCGACTTCACCAAAAAGGGATTCCTCTTCCGAGGGCAGATCTCTGAACCACTCAAGACCCGGGGCATCTTTGAGACCAAGTTTCTCTCTCAGATTGAGAGGTAAGTGGGGAGGGGTTTCTACCACCATTCTGCTTCTGCTTCTATGAATTGGATTGCTCTAGGTGCCTCATGTAAGTAGAATCATATAGTATTTGTCTTTAGTATCTGGTTTATTTCACTTAGCCTGTTTTCATGGTCCATCGAAGTTGTAGCCTGTGTCAGAGTTTCTTCCCTTTTAAAGACTGAGTAATACTCCATTGTATTCACATACCATGCTTAGGTTGTCTGTTGGCCTGGGCTGTGATCCCCCATTTTACATTTTCTGCTGTAGCTTGGGTAACAGGCACATGCCGTCACGCTTAGCTTTTTTCCATTGAGATGGGGGTCTCAAGAACTTTTTTTTTTTTCTCAGAGACCTGGAATCATGATCCTCCTGGTCTCAGCCTTCCAAGTAGCTAGGATTAGAGGTGTGAGCCCCCAGTGCCTGGCTAAGGCTGGCTGGTCTTATCATTGTTATTCTCAATATCAGGATTAGTCATTGTCATTTCTTTCACTTTAGTACAAGTCAGACAAATATCCCAGAGGAAAAAAGTCTTGGGACTTAATAGGTAGTTCATATGTCCAATAAACGGAAAAAAATCACCCTCACTAATAGAGAAGAATGCAAATTCATGCAAATAAAAGCATCATGTGGTGATGCCATTCTTAAGAAATGATCAAAAATTTTAAAAGTGATCCTTTCCAGCTGGGCATGGTGGTGCACACCTGTGATCCCAGCAGGAGGATCTCGAGTTCCAGGTCAGCCTGGGCTACATAGTAAGACACTATCTTAACAAAAAAGTGATCCTTTCCTCTGAGGACACCTATGGCCAAAAATTATATTGGTGAGACAGTGTGCTAACATGATTTTCTGAATGGCATTTACCACAAAAGCCCTTTGACTCAGATACATATCCTAAGGGAAAAAAATCAGTTACACATAGGTTTATATGCAAGAAATTTCATTAAAAGTTTACTTTGTAATAGCGGATGATTGCAAATACCTTAAATCCCTCTAAACTGGCTGAATAAATTATGGTGCATCCTAGAATGGAATATTATGGCAGTCACTTCCAATCCTGTTCTCAGATAGGGCTGTGGGAAATTGCTCAGATGTCTAAAACAGGAAAGAAGACAGAAAAGTTGGCCAGGTGCCCGTGGGCTCACACCTGTAATCCTAGCTACTTGCTAGGCTGAGATCAGAAGGACTGAGGTTTGAGACCAGCCTGAGGAAAATAGTTTGCAAAACCCCATCTCCAAAAATAACTAGAGCAAAATGGACTGGAGGTGTGGCTCAAGCGGTAGAGCACCTGCTTTGCAAGTGTGACACCCTGAGTTCAGGCCCCAGTCCCACCAAAAATAAATAAATAAAAGACAGAAAAGCATGATGGTCCCATTTTGTATACCATATGAACAGCACCATTGCTTAATGATGTTTAGGAAAACAGATTGGAAAGAAACGCATTAAAATGCTGATAGCATTTTCCTAGGTGTTGTGATAGGAGACAGTTTTAATTTCCCAATTTTAATTTTTCTAGTTTTGCCAAACTTTCTACACCTTAGCACATGATACTTTTGGGATCATTACAAAAAATAAATGGTTTTTTGTGGTTGCTGTTTTGCGGTGCTGGGGCTCGAACTTGGGTCTTCACGCTTGCTAGACAAGTGCTTGAGCTAGTCTGCCAGCCAACAAATGGTGTTTTGAAGGGGGGAGGGGGAACCCATGATGCTATTTATAGAAAAGTGTAGTGATTTGAAGCCAAGCTTTTGGACTTGGTCCCCAGGCTGCTCTGTGGGTCCCGTTTCATCCAGCCCCTTGGCTTTTGTTCACCACAGTGACCGATTAGCGCTGCTCCAGGTCCGGACCATCCTCCAGCAGTTGGGTTTGAACAGCACATGTGACGACAGCATCCTGGTCAAGACTGTGTGTGGGGTGGTGTCCAAGAGGGCTGCACAGCTGTGTGGCGCAGGCATGGCTGCAGTGGTGGACAAGATCCGAGAGAACAGAGGGCTGGACCATCTGAATGTGACCGTGGGAGTGGACGGGACGCTCTACAAGCTTCATCCACAGTGAGTACGGCTTCTGGTTGGGATGGCTAAGCTTGCTGGGCTGGTGAATTTCCTTGAGAGTCACAAGGCATCACAGTGCGGTTCCCACCAGAACAATTCCTCAATTCCTCACTGGACATGGCAGCCTGAGCCTGTGCATTCAGGGACTGGGGCCTTTCTGGGATAATGAGCAGCTCTAGGGTTTGACTAGGACCTCTAGGGAACCAGAGAAGAGGCTTCACATAGCAGCATGGTGTGACCCTCTTCCTGAGCCTCCTGGATCTTTCTGAAGTAGGATGGGAAGGGAGGGGAGAACAGGGCATGGGTTTACCCACCAGGAGGAAATTAAGAAGCGGAGTGGGGTCCTGTTTACCCACAGAATTGAAGCTTGTTAGGACTTGGAAGGCCAGGCTCACTGCTGGCCCTTGGTTGCAGGGTAGGGAGAGCAGGGAGTAGCCTCCTTTTAGTCAAATATCTGACACCTTATCCACTCGTGTTATAAAGCTTGGCTCTTATGAATAGCGTGACCGTGACTGAACTGGTGGCACTTTTGCCAGTGAAAAGAATGCTACCAGTACTCTTGGAGCCATCACAGATAAACTGGGCCATAGTGTTACTTTGCTTACATTACCTGCTTACCTCATGGCCATGCCTTAGAATGACACATCTGTCCTGCTCCATCCTCACCTCCATCTCTCTGCCTTCATAGTTGTCTTCATTGTCACCAGAAGCAGCAGCACATGTGTGTGGTATAGGGCTAGGCTTTGGATCCATGTACTCTTGGACTCAATTCAGGTACCATTTAGAAGCTGTGCTCAGTTGTTTGATGTCTGCCAACTCTTGTCTTCTTCATGGGCTCACAGCCACTGGCAGGACTAGAAGCTATGTGTATGCAGTATGGGCAACTAGCAGGTGCTCGACAAAGGACAGGTATTACTTCTAAGAGCCTTAGCCTAGCCCTGTCTTTCCTTTTCAGCACAGAATACCAGTCCCCAGAGTCACCTCCCATTTAGAGATCATCCCTTTCTGGGAGGCCACCCTTTCTTGCTGCTGAGGCTGGTGGTAGGCTGGGGGTCTCAGAGGGCTGCAGTAGGGGGGTACAGTTCCTCACAGTGCTCGAGTAGCTTGGGCCTGCCTTGGGCGTCCCTGCCCCAGGCCCAAGCATCTTGATTTTCAGATCCCCTAGGAGCTCCACGCTCTCAGGTGGACTGTCTGAGTGTGTTGCCCAGGTCCTGACTCTCACCAGCTGTGCAGGTAGCTGGGTTTGTGCAGGTAGCTTGTGCCCTTGCTGGAGATTGTGACAACAGTACTGGCTGTAAGTCCACTGACCTCCAGTCATTTTCAGCTGAGCTGCTCCCACTTCACTGTTGGTATTTTGGTGTCGCCAGCTGGGCAGCATCACCTCTCATCTTCCTGTCCCTCCTTCTCTGTCTTTTGTCTCACAGCTTCTCCAGAATCATGCACCAAACCGTGAAGGAGCTGTCACCAAAGTGTAACGTGTCCTTTCTCCTGTCTGAGGACGGTAGTGGCAAGGGGGCTGCCCTCATCACAGCCGTGGGTGTGCGGCTCCGAGAAGCGAGCAGTTAAGAGCCAGGACCCCCAACCTGCTGCCCTTCCAGCACTTCTCTCTAAAAGCAACGACCCCTTGTTCCACCCAGCGAGCCATGCTGGGAGACCCCAGCGCCAAAGCCCACAACGCTGCAGCGGGAGGAAAACAGAACCCAACTAATGGCGCATAACGTAGGGTACAACATAGAGCGTGTGCTGTTGATAATCTCTCTCACCTGCCCTGCCACTCTGCATGATTTGATTTCCACCCGGCCGTGCATTCCCCACATGTGAAGTGTCTCGGCACCCATTCCTACCACAGGCACCCCGACAGGCCTTCTGGGCCTCCGAAGCCCGTCCTTGGGGGCGCCTCCCTTGTGTGAAGTGTATTATCACCAGCAGACACTGCCGGACTCCCCCTCCCAGGGGCATGGCCTGAAGGATGAGTGAGGAAATAGCCTTCCTGCCTCCTCCTGTCCCAGTGCCCACTGCAGCCTGGCATCCCATCAGGATGTGGCAATGCCACTAAGTTGTGTGTCGGTGGAACCGGTCCTAGCCACATTGTGACAGTCTTGCATTCTGTTTGTCTCATGGGGGGAGGTGTGCAGTCCTGCGGGAAAATGTCTTGTCTCCATCTGGGTAACAGGAACCAACAGTGCTACCACTGGAATTTCCCATCGCTTTTGTGAGCCATGTTGTATGACTAGTAAACTTTGTACCAACTCAAAGTCCCGACTGATGTTTCTGGACTGGGGAGAGGGGAGGAATGTGGACCTCTGGCTAAGGGAGAGAGTTAAAAGTAAAATTATGACCTGCAGCCCCTAGCCTTGGTTTGGCACAAGGACTTCTGTATTGTCCCTGCAAACTATCACAGGCCTAGCCTCTTGCCTGGACTCCCACACCTGCCCTGCCAGTTCCTCTCTAGTCCCAGCGTCCCAAGTCCCAACCCCAAGGCCTGGAAAGAACACAAGCCCCTGCCCTCCAGCAACCCATTCTCCTCTCTTGCTAAAACAAAGGAAAAGTGATCTTGGCCTCCATGGGTTGTTTGGGTTTAAAGAGAAGACAGTGCAGCGTGGCCTTCCCCACCACCCCAAGCAGACCCTGCCTCATTGGGGGATGAAATACAACCCCTGCTCCAACACCCAGAGTCTGCAGGCAGCCCAGGGAGGTAGGGTGGCTGCTCTCTCTCCCTCCCCAGACCTAATGACCCCATCCAAACCTTTTACCCACCCTAACCTCAGGAGACACAGCCCAAGGCGGCCATTTTGGATTCTTCCCAAAACTCTTTGGTGGATTCCACATCAGTGCACCGAGTTGTCCTACGATGTCCCAGCCACAACTACAGTCTAAGTGGCTTCCCAGGAGTAGTGCATGCCTGTCTGATTTGTTGAGGTCAAAGGGTCAGAGTCCCTTTATTGGGACATGGGCAATGCCAGGGTCTCTGGCACAGGGATGTCTGTGGAGAACATAGATAGCATGAAACTTTGGATGTGCATTTACAGCATTACTTGGTTCTTCTGGAGACCACTGGGGCAAGGGTAGAGGGTAAGTCGGCACGTGGGGAGAGGTTCAGCCTTGGGTGGACTGAGCCAGGCCTGGAGCATTCTGGGAGTTGGGACAGTTGGTATTCTCTTCCAGCCAGCTTCTTGCTGCAGAAGTGAGATGGCTTTCATGTAAAATGGCTGTCATGGTAATAAAAAAATCATGGCTATCATTTGTTGAACACTTAATCTGTGTGTGGCCTGCTAGTTTGTAGCCATTGCCATTGAGCTTCACAGAATCCTTGGAAATAGTTTCACCACTGGAAAGAGGAAAAGGCTGAAGGGAGTTAGGGATACAGGTGGGATTTCTTTTGACCTAACCACGATGGAGCCGGGCTGTATCTGAGTTCTTCGATTCTGAGGCTGAGAAGCCCCAGGTTGACTCACAGCCAGTGGGCTTTGCTAAATTAGAAGCTTCCTTCTGTCTTCAGCCTAGAATGAATCAGTGTCATGTTTGTGTGCTACCTATGAATTTGCTTCGTCTGGTTTATCCAAGGTTTTCTGAGCCAAATTTAACAAGTCTGGAGGATTTCCATCTTTTCTTGAAAGATCTGGCAACTGTGGGCTCCCATTACCATGTGACAGCAGTTGTCCTGAATTAAGCATCTTCTGTCCCCTGCAGTCTGCCACAGTCCCACCTTTCCTATCACCCCGATACTGAGGCTGACAGTTGACTTTAATCATCACATTTGCAGCTTTTCTTTTATACTGGATCCAATTTATTCTTTACATTGTATGCCCCAGGAAGGCATTTGAGCTTGCAACATCTGGATTAGGTAAGTGTTGGCTCACACTGTCATCTTGGACCCTTAACTGACTCCCTGAAATGCTCTGAGATGGGTGGCTGGGCTCTGAACTCTTAAGAGTTAGCATCCTCTGTAGAGTTCCAAGCACCATCTTGTTTTTCCACTGACATATTGAAGAGTGGGGCGTGGGCCAAACTTTCATATCTGATCTTCTTGCTTGGCTTCTCAAAGAGAGCTAAGCCTGGTCCTGCAGCCAGGCACAAGGTTTCATGGTTCAGCAGGATCCCCCTCTCGGAGACCCCCAGTCTGCCCATTGGTAGCCTCGGAGGGGGCCATGAATAAAGTCTCTTTTGTATGACATCTGTTGACTCTCATGGAGAGGGATGGGGTGTGAGTCAGCTCCAGTTTATCTTCTTGGGTTGGTGTGACCCATGGGCAGCAACGGAAAGCAAGCCGGAATCCAGAGCGAAACCTAGGAGGTGGGGGACATAAAGTCACCTTGAGCAAGGGAGTTAAGGGTACAGGAGCTGTCATGTGGCTGCTCCCAGCACCCGGAGACTATCTCTCTTTCAAAGGAAAGTCACTGCCCCAGTCTGAAGAACCTGCAGTTGTTTGAGGTCTCTTACAGAGATGCATTCTTCAGTGGATTTGGTTTTTGGAAACAACCAGAAATATTCTGGAGCTTCGTATAGTGATTCAAGTGGGTGATTAAGCTGATTTAGACTATTTACTGTTATAAATGAAAAGTGACCAAGTATGGTTACAAAGGAACGACACTTCTTAACTGGCTTCTAAAGAGTATTCAAAGAGGAGTCTGTTGAGAAAAGAGTTGGGTTCTGGCATCATTGGCGGTTGACACTCTCCCAAGGGACTGCTTTAAAGGAAACTTCACAGGTAGAACTGCCGAGTTGGGCTTCATTATCTTAAAAATAACCCTATGGCAGCACTGACTGTCCAAGTGTGTACACTGTTGGAAGCAGAGGTGAGTGGAAGAAGGGTTGGGCCAGATGTTGGTGGCTCACACCTGTGATCCTATCTACTTATCTACTTGAGACACTGAGATCTGGAAGATCGTTGTCAGCCTGGGCAAATACTTCTTGAGATTCCATCTTCAAAATAACCAGAGCAAAATGGACTGGAGGTGTGACTCAAGAAGTAGAGCTTTTACTTTGTAAATGTGAAGCCCTGAGTTCAAACCCCAGTCCCACCAAAAAAACAAGGGTGGGGGGACAAAAGAGAACACCAACCCCAGGGAAGGGCAGAAACAAATGGGACCCTGTGCAGACAGAGGGCGGAGCTGCATTCGCTTCCTGGGCTTCAGTGTTCCATGATTCAAAAAAATCGCTTTGCTTAGGATCCTCGACTTGTAGCTCCGCAACACTCCATGATGGAGCCTAGAGAGGCCTGTACCTTACACCTACAACAACATCCTCAATTGTGTTCCCCAGTCCTCCCCAGCAGTCCTCACTTCTGTTCCCTATAACTGACAGCTCCATCATTTTGGCCAAGAACACATGGACTCATCCTTGACCGTCTCACATGCCACCTCCCCTCCATCAATTCTTTTGGCTCTACTTTGGCAACATCCAGATCCCAACTGCATCTTGCCCTGGTGGAAACCATCTCTCGCCTGAATTGCTGCAACAGCCTCCCTGAGGCCATCTCCCTGCCTTTCCCCTTGCTCCCCTCTGGTCTAGATCCATTGTAGCCACTGTACTGACTCTTCTGAAAGGTAAGTGGACCTGTGTCTGCCCTGTGGTGGCTCCCTGTGTTAGAGCAGGAGCCCAAGTCCTAACCAAGGGCTGTTGCTTGGTCTGTTCTTTGCAAGACTGATTCAACCATTTAAACCTTTGCTCAAATGCAAACTGCACCCCCTCTGCTCACTACCTAAGTCCCTCAGCAGTTCCTGTCCCCCCCACCTGCCCTCTCCACTTTTTCCCATATTGCTCTTGTTTAACACACTATGCAATTCACTTAGTAGGTGTGGGTACCGTCTGTTCCCTCCCTAGACTGTCAGCTCCTGAGGAAAAGGAACTTTGGTTTTGCCCATTGGTGGATCTCAGGGTCCTGGAACGGTGCTGAGCACACATCACCACTGGTGAGCATTTTCTGAACGAGTGGAGAGTCCTGCCCCAAGTACCAGTCCTGTGTACCAGCCCTGTGTCACAGCTGGTGTTACCACATACCAAATGATTTGGAAGTGCCTTTAGGAACTAGCAGAGCCCTGCAGTGTTGCTCAGGCTCCAGGGACTGTGTGGTTGGGTAGCAAGAGAGTGGCCAACACAGACGGGTGTGATAGTGATCCCACCTTCGTGTGACAGCCCAGTCCCCCATTTCTCTTTCCCTCCAGTCTCATGAATGAAAAATGTGTGCTGGTCTGGAGGTGGGGAAGAGGTTAAGATGGCTGGCCTTGGAGCTATGTGGAAGCTGTATCCTCTGTTGTAGTATAGAGGCTTATGGGAGGGGGTGTCTTCCTTTCTTGGGCTCAGTTTTCTCATCTGTATAATGGGGTAACCCCTACTTCTCTCCTATTATCCCTCACACCAATCAGGAGCTAGAGGGTTTGCACTCAATTTATCCAGGCTGCCCTAGGTGAGTGGGGTATCTGAGCAGTGAAGAGCCCACTGACATCATGAGTAACTGGACACCTGGGTAGGGAGGCCATAAAAGGCACTAGCAAGAAGACCCAGGGTCAATGTCACCTACACCAGTTTTGTGAGGCCAGGACTCAGTATCAACATTTCCTCTCCTCTCGCCTGCCCCCGCAGGCTTCTCCCAGGCTGGAATCCTGATCTGTGTCTGAGGCTCCTGCCTAGTTTATCACCTACTCTCTCTGACTTCACCTCCTCAGCAGCACCAGGGCTCAGAGAACCAGAAGAGGTGGAGCCAGGAGTGAGATCTGTCGTTCCCCACAACCCCCACACCGGTCGTCTCTGCCAATGTCATGTCCATCGCTTGGAAGAGAGGAAACACTGTGATCTTGCTGGCAGAGGCTGCCCCCCACTCGGGCCCCTGGCTCCTCTTGAGTACTTCATAGGCCTAGTAGGTTCTGCTCACCTGGACCCAGGAAAATACTCAGGAGGAAGCTGTCAGAACATGGCGTGGTGGTACATGCCTGTAATCCCAGCATTTGGGAGATTGAGGCAGGAGGCATGAGAGTTCAAGACCAGCCTAAGCTACATAGCGAGACCCTGTCTCAAAATTAAATGTTAAAAACGTACTGGAGACCCGGGCGCCGGTGGCTCACACCTGTAATCCTAGCTACTCAGGAGGCAGAGATCAGGAGGATTGAGGCTTGAAGCTACCCTGGGCAAATAGTTTGTGAGCCCATATCTTGAAAACACCCATTACAAAAATGGCTGGTGGAGTGGCTCAAGGTGAAGGCCCTGAATTTAAGTCCCAGTACTGCAAAAAAAAAAAAAAAAAAAAAAAAAGGCACTGGGGATATAGTTTAGAGGTAGAGCACTTGCCCAACATGCACTGGGCCCTGGGTTCACCCCCAGCACTGACAAAAAAAATCAACAGCACTCAGTCCTTGCTCCTTGACCTGGATCTTTCTTACTCTGTTCCTTCCTTCTGCCTCTCCCTCCATCTCTTTGACATTGATTTCTGTCTTCCCCTTGTCCCAGACACAGTCCCCAGAAGAAACAGCAGGAACAGAGGGGCAAGGCTTTGGGAAGGAGGTGGGACCTAAGTTAGGCACAGGCCAGAGGGAGGGTTGTGCTGTGGGCTGACCTGGAGGATGGCATTCCCACTTGGGGCTCGGGGGTGAGGGTGGTTGTGGGGCCACTCCCAGGCCAGTACAGGAGCAAGGGTGGAGGCTTCAGCTGCAGGGGAGTCCAGAGGACTCCCAGAGCCAGGGTGGGGCTCACCTGTGGTTTAGACAGCAGTAGATGATGGGATTGTACATGGTGGAGCTCATGGCCAGCCAGAAGAGTGCCAGGTAGACCTGCTGGATGAACTTGTGGTAGTAGACATCCTCCTGAAAGCTGCCCAGGATGAAGTAGAGGTGGTAGGGCAGCCAGCAGACAGCAAATGTCACGACTACCAGCACCATGGTCTTCACAAACTGGTCCGGGAGAGGCTCAGTCAGTCTTCAGCCCCTGAGGCCCAAGCAGGTGTGGGGCACCTCTCACACCAGCCTGGGAAGCCTTCCATGATCAGACCCACCTATTCCTCTGCCTCAGTTGCCTGGAACCTCTGCTACCCAGATGCCTGAGACCCCACCTCAGGGCCTTTGCAAAGACAGGTTCCTTTACCCACACTGCTGTCGTTCTTTTGAAGTCCTCACTCACAGAAGTGGGGTTTGGGGATCCTGGAGTCCAAAGGATATTCAGGACCCTGTCTTTCAGACCAGCTCTCATTCCCCGGAGAATGAATGAGCTCTCACTCCTGACTCCTCCCTTAGGGAACCCCAAACTACCCTCTCTCTGGGATTGATGTCTCCAAGGCCCTTCTATCTGTGGGCAATGAGGTTCCAACTAGGGATCCTCCCAGCCTTTGCCCAAGGGTCCTGATCCCTCCCCCCAAATGCCTGGTTTCAGGAGGCACACTCCTGCACTGCCCAGAAACCCACAAGGAATGGGAGACCCCAGTGGTGTCGGATGTTCAACTGCCTCCCTGAACTGCTTTATAAAAATGTCCACTATCTATTGGGCATGGTGGTACATGCCTATAATCCTAGCTATGTGGGAGGTACAGGTAGGAGAATCACAGTCTGAGGCCGCCCCGGCCAAAAAGAAGGAGACTGTATCTGAAAAATTACTAAAGCAAAAGGGGCTAGAAGTGTGACTCAAATGGTTGAGAAGGGGGTGCAGCCAAGTTGAGCTTCACTTGGGAGGGAGGAGGAAGGTCGAGAGCACAGAGAGCTATCAGACCCACTGGGTGGGAGGCTCTGGAGGCTGAGGGGGTGGAGGAACACTGCCACATGGCACAGAAATTGGACTTGAAGAAGCTGGGCTACACTGGATCTCCAGCTCTCTGAGGTTCCCACATTTAAGGACTTTCTGAGATTCTATCTAGGTGCCTCCTGTATGTACTTCTAGGGAACTTCTGAATCTCAACATTCCAATTATCCAAAATGCAAACATTTGAAGATTCCGTCATACGAAGATTCTTGGAGGTATATGAAATTCAGTGGGGCTTTAGGATTCTCTGGTTCCCTCACATTCTAAGAAATTCCTTTAGTTTTGTATTTGCCCAAAGACCAAAGGTCCATCCACCTGCTCAGAGGAAAGAATTCAGATCTGGCTCCAGGTGGGGCACAAGGGCAGGTGACAAGATGGTCTGTGGGCCTCAGTGCCCCATAGCCAGTGGGCCTTGACCAGCAAGGGTAGGGCGGGGCGGCCTGGACTGCTATATCCCTGCTGCTCACCTTCTTCTTAGCCCGCAGGTGGCGCAGGTTGGCACCATGCACCTGGTGTCTGGGGACAGCTCGTCTCCAGAGCGTGAGGCCAATGATGCTGTAGGCGACAAACATCACCGTGAGGGGCAGAAAGTAGATGAGGGCAATCACAACAAGGTGGTACCTGGAGAGAGAGCCAGGCACCCGGTCAGAGGTGTCCCAGGTTGACCCGAGTTCCACCTGCTCTGCTCTTCCTAGGACCCTGTGGTCCCCACCCTCAGTCCTGTGCTGGGCCACCTTGCAAGGCCTTGGTTTGAGTAAAAGAAAAAGGCTACATTGGCAAGCATATCTGCCAAAAGAAGGCTTCCTCTGTAAAAGGGTTACCAGCATTAGCCGCATTGTCCTTCCATGTGACAGACATGGCAGAAAAAGGAAATGGGTATGAAGAAAGTTAAACAAGTTTTACATTTGTTTAAACTGTAAAATACCAGCCTGCATGGTGGCTCATGCCTGTAATCCCACAACTCCGGAGGCTGAGGCAGGCAGATCATGAGAGATGGAAGCCATCTGGACTTCATAGCAAGACCCTGTCTTTAAAACAAGCCGGGCACCAGTGGCTTGCACCTGTAATCCCAGCTACTCCAGAGGCAGAGATCAGGTGGATTGTGGTTTGAAGCCAGCTGGGGCAAATAGTTTGCAAAACCCTATCTTGAAAAAAAAAATCACACACAAAAAAGGGGCTGGTGGAGTGGCTCAAAGGTGGAGGCCCTGAGTTCAAACCTCAGTACTGAAGAGTTAAAAAAAAAATTCAGCACAAAGGAGAAAGCAAAATTACTCATCGTCTTTCTACCACTATTAGCAGTGTGGCATATTTTCCTCCAGAGTTGGATGTAAGTCTAGGTACATCTACGCGTGTACACACACGTGTGTGTGCTGATGTGAACATGCAGACACATGTAATGTATACCTGAATACCTGCCTGGGTGGATGGAGAGAACTGCTGGAGTTAGAGAGGTACCATCCTGTACCAATATCCCTGTGGAGGAATGGGACGGTGGAAAATTTCCACACTGCCCTCACACTATGCCATCTCCTTCCTGCCCATCAGTGGGGACAGTGCTCATGCCAACAGCACCCTGGACTCTACTCCATTTCTGCGCCACGCTGCTGTGTCTCTGACCAGCCATGGGACGAGGACTGACTCCCACGCAGGCTGTGAAGGGCACCCTTGGAACATCCCAGGAATGGGCCTAAGAACCCCAAGTCTTCCATGTGAGCTTTTTCTTTCTTACTAGGAAAGGTGAGATGTTCCCAAGCTCCCCAACCACACCCCCAAGTGCCAGCCTTTCTGGGCCCTTTTTGGGAGGTGTCACCAACCCTGAGGGAGGGGAGCAGGTGACTCCAGCAAATCTCTCTCTTAGCTTGCTTTTGGCAAACAAGGCACATGGACATCTACACATGCTGATCCCTTTGTAGGGACTGGGTTGAGCGCCCCATCATCAAGTAGGTAAGAGGGGGTAAGGAGTAGCAAGTGTCAGGCTCCTATCACCTTGCAGCGTGCCTAAGCTCAAAAGACCTTGACCATCCACTGGGCCAGCTGCCTCAGTGTCCAGATGGGGAAACAGGCCCAGAGAGGCACAGGAAGTTTGTGTCATAGGAAGCAGCTCTGTAGACTTCATCAAGACCTGAATGATCTCTCTTTCACTGAGGTCAACTCTGCAGGAGTCAGAATGGGACTATTATTAGCCTCAAATTTAAAGTGTGATCTTGGGCAAATCAGGTCTCTTCTGTAAAAATCAGGATATCATCTCCATGTCCTTCCCAAGTCTTTTCCAGGGAGGCAGCACAGGATAGAAGTTTACCCTTGGCTAGGTTCCTATACTGAGGAATTCCTCCTGAGCTGAGGAATATTGAGGGCCACCTTCTAGAATCTGCCAAAATCAAGAATACCTCCCTCAAGGCCTGGACTATCCTTTTTGAATTTTGATTTTGGGGTAAATGTACATCTTCCTGGAGACAGCAACTGTGATTTCATCAGATTCCTGCAGACACACAGAATGTGAGCTTGTGAGGATGGGGCCCCCATTCCCAACGAGTAACACTCACGCATAATATCAGGATTTCTCCAAATCCTTTCAGAAATCTAAGTAACACCAATATATGACTTTCCTAGTGAACCCATGACCTCTTGTCTTTCCCTGTTGCCTGCATCCTCCCCAAGGAGTGAGACCGCTGAGCTCTCTTCTGAGGGAGAAATTCCATGTTAAGATGGACAAACACTGCCCCCCAGTGGCCAGTTCTAAAATGCTCGGCTTTCCACCCTTTCTAAGAGTTGGGTACAGGGTAGAACCACAGATCCTGGGCAGGGCCTGCCCTTGGGACTGGAGATCCTCGGTCCCCAGGAACAGGCTTCTCAGTGGATGACGTCTTCCCCAGAACGAATGACAGAAGTGGTGCTCCTGGCACTGCTCAGGACAGATGGGGCCCAGGTAGGGCCAGGTGTTGGGGAAGGGTCTTAAAGGAGGCATGGGGGGGGGGAGCTTGCGTGGCCACGTTACCTAGAAACCATCAGCGAAGACCATGCATGTCCCAAGCTTGGGGCACGGGACTTTATTGGACTAAATATGCTACCTCTAGGTTTGTTTCTGTCCTCTATTTAAGCTTTCACACACTGGGCACCAGTATGTGGCATCAGTTTGGGAACTGTGTGCAGCTCCCCATTTTGAAGAGAGAGGGAGCCAAAGGCTCAGAGGGATGAAGTGATGGTGAGGGTCCTCCAGGAGGGAGCATGCCAAGACTCGGCTGGGTACTGACTCCAAAACCTCAATGGCTTGCTTACCCCATACCTGCCAGCAGTGCAGTGCTTAGGAGTCACAGTTACGTCGTGAGAACCTGGGAAACAGTCTCAGAATGGGGACAGGACATACCCAGGGTCACACATGCTTGAGTTCTTCTACCCATCCCTGCCTACCTCCAGCCCATGGCGCCCATCTCAGCATGAAGCAGATACCTGAAAACATCCCAGCTCCATTACCCACCCTTCTCCCCACATCCCTGACCCTGTGGCCTAAGCAGAGCCCTCCAAACACACGTCCCTAACAGGCTTCCACACACGCATGTATCTACACACGTGTAGTCATGGGGGAGTACAGCCATGTGTGTGACACATGGAGCGACACACAACCCGCATGCATTCAGGTCACGTGTGTCCTCAGTTAGGTGGCTGAGGCACCAGCTGCACATGAGTCCCTGCTTCCCCACTTTCTACACGTGTGGTCTTGGACATGTCACAGAGTTTTTCAGTGCCAAAGTGGAGTAACAATAATACATACCCATCATATAACGTGAATTAATGGGGATAATATCTATAAAGTGCTTAGGACAGGTCTGAGATTTGGTGTTACTTTTAGTACAGATGGTCCCTGACTTATGATTTTTTGACCCAATGATTTTTTTTTTTGAGGTACAGAGGCTTAAACTCAGGGCCTTCACCTTGAGCCTCTCCACCAGTCCTATTTTTGTGAAGTGTTTTTTGAGATAGGGTCTTTTGAACTATTTGTCCAGGCTGACTTCAAATCACATTCCTCCTGATCCCTGTCTCCTGAGTAGCTAGGATTACAGGTGTGAGCCACCAGCGCTCAGCTAACATTTTTTTTTTAATGATAATGCAAAAGTGCTAGGCATTTAATAGAAAGCAGACTTCAAATTTTGCATTGGATCTTTTCCTGAGAGCTAGTGATACATGGTACAATCTCCCAAGATGCTGGGCGGTGGCAGTGGCAGCGAGCCATGTGGTCATGAGGGGAGATGACCCACACTTAACAGGGTGCTGTGCTGCTACTGATGTGTGTAGTAGGTTATATGTATTAAATGCATTTTCGACTTAAGAGAGCTTTAACCTTCTGGGGCTGTTAGTCGAGGAACCTCAGTATAAACACACACTCACATAACCCCATATTCTCCCAGAGTCCTGTGCACACACTGCACACACAAACATAGGGGCACACACACACTCACTCACACTCACACACAAGCACATGCACAGTGCCCCCTTACCCCCAGGGGGCCTTACACAAGGAGTGTCTTGCCCCCTCTGTCTTCAGGCCAGGCCACCACGCACTTGGTGGCACCCTGATCCACCGTGATGGTGGAATAGAAGCACTGGGGGAAGGCGAGAGCCAGGGCCACCAGCCAGATGCCGGCGATAACTGCCTTGGTGCTGGGAGCTGAGAGCCGCGGCTGGAAGGGGTGGACGATGGCCATGTACCTGCGGGCAGAGCACAGCGTGAGTGTCAGATACCCTCCCATCAGACCTCCCTCCTCCTCTTCCCTATCCAGCCCAACCCTGCCAGTCCCTTCTCACGCTGCTGCCAATGTCTGTGCAGCAAGCGGGGGGCCTGGGGATTCCCCCACCGCCACACAGCACACAGTGCCCTAGAGCCTAGCCCAGGCACCCAGCCACCTCCTCCCTCTGGACACGGACAGGCCCACAGATGGGCACCAGAGAGTGGAGAGGCCACACTGGAAGTCCAACTGGGGGCAAAGTGGAAAGTCCAATAGTAGCCTGAAGCTCAGCCTGGCCTGAGCCCTCGGCCTTACACCAGTCGCTCCTCACTCAGAAACTAGCACAGCCTGACCATGCCCTGGACAGAGCTCAAATGCACTGCCCAGCAAAACTTCCTGCCATGGTGGAGGCTACGAATGGCCTGCTCTGTTTGATAATTGCTCCCATGAGTGGCAAGGAGCATGACCAAGACAGGAACTGGGCTTTAATTTTGATTAAGATAAACTTAAAATTAGGTACATCATAGATAATGCAAGCCCAAACCTTTAAACTCAGCCTTCAAGGGCCTCTGCACATGACCACCATGCTTTCTAACCTCTTCTGTCCCTGCTTCCTGGAGCTTCCCTGGCTCACTCTGGTTGGAGAGAGCCTGTGTGACACTCTCTGAGGTGTTGCTTCCCTCTCCTTCTGTAGCTTCTCCTTCTTCTCTGTATTCACTGAAGTCCAAGTGACACATCACCTCCTTGGTGAAGTTAGCCAGGACAGGCTCATCCCAGCTCCTGCCTCCTGGGGGGACTGTGGGGACTTGAGCTACCATTTAGCAGCCCTGTGCCTGGTGAGGTGGAAGGCCCACTGCCCAGTGGCCTTTGGTGGCACTGTCATCTCCATTTCTACCGCAGGAGACAGAGGCTTGGAAAAGTGAAGAACAAGAGACAATGCTCTCAGGTTGTGAACCCAGGAAGGCTCCAGCTGTCTGCTCTTGGGCTGTATAGTCCAGACACACAGCCTCTGTGGGCATGTGCTGGGCCTGGTGGTGGCCCCCTAGGGCCTTAAGGAAGGCAAGCTTCTTGTTTCTCCAAGGTCAAAGCATCCAAAGGCACCACCCGCCAGGGACACAGCACCCCGTCCTCCCAACATGTGGTGTGACCAGAACAGTGATTTCTGCCTCTGTAGAGCGCACAAGTGGGACTAGACTGGAGGGTCTCTTTACGCCATGGGGCTGATGGCTGTTTGAGAAAGCTCAGGGACCCCTTATTTGAATCAGATTTTCATATGAGTAAATTATAATGCACTGGATTACAAACAATATCAGTCATACTGAAATATAGTTATTGAAATATAAAATTGGGCCATTGTAATATATGCACTTCTTATCACAACACCTGATTTTAAATTATGCTTTACAGCCATAGTAACAAAAACAGCATGGTACTGGCACGAAAACAGACATGTAGACCCATGGAATAGAATAGAATAGAATAGAATAGAATAGAATAGAATAGAATAGAATAGAATAGAAATAAACCCAAGCAGCTGCAGCCACCTGATTCTCAGCAAAGGTGCCCAAAACGCATTTTGGAGAAAAGATAGCCTCTTCAACAAATGACACTAGGAAAACTGGAAGTCTGTATGTAGAAGACTGAAACTTGACCAGACACCAGTGGCTCATGCCTGTAATCCTAGCTACTCAGGAGGCAGGCATCAGGGATCAGGGATCAGGCAGATTGGGGTTGGAAGCCAGCCTTGGACAAATAGTTCAAGAGACCCTATCTTGAAAATACCTAATGCAAAACAGGGCTGGCGAGTGGCTCAAATGTTAGAGTGCCTGCCTAGTGAGAGTGAGGACCTCAGTTCAAACCTCAGTACAGCCAAAAAAAAAAAAAAAAGTCTGAAACTAGACCCCTACTTCTCACCCGGTACAAAAATCAATTCAAAATGGATCAAAGGCCTCAATGTAAGACCTGAAACTGAAACTACTACTGGGAAAACACTTTAAGGTATAGGTATAAGCAATGACTTTCTGAATAGAACTCCAAAAGCTCAGGAACTAAGAACAAGAATTGACAAATGGGATTGCATCAATTGAAACAATTGTCAGAATGAAGAGACAGCCTACAGAATAGGAGAAAATCTTTGCCAGCTCTTCACCTGACAAAGGATTAATATCCTGAATTTATAAAGAACTAAAATAATTTAACACCTTGGCTGGCAAAGTGGCTCAAGTGGTAAAGCACTGCCTAGCAAGCATGAGGCCCTGAGTTCAAACCCCAGTGTCACAAACAAAACACCAAAGAACAAATAATCCAATCGATAAACAGGCAAATAAACCGAACAGATAGTTCTCAAAAGAAGTACAAATTGCCAATGAATAAGTGAAAAAGTATTCAACATCTTCAGCCACAAAGAAAATGCAAATCAAAGCTATATTGAGGTTCCATCTCACTCTAGTCAGATTGGCAATCATCAAGAAAACAAACAACAACAAATGCTGCTGATGACTGGGGGGGGGTGACACTTATACACTGTTGGTGGGAATATAAATTAGTGCAGCCACTATGGAAATCAGTACAGAGGTTCCTCAAAAAATTCGAAGTAGAACTCCCATATGATCTTGCTATACTATTCCTGGGTGATAAAGAAATCACCCAAAACAATCTAAGCCGTTGTACAGTAGAGATACCTGCATACCTGTGTTTACTACAGTCCTAGTCACCAGAGCCAAGCTATGGAATCTGTTAGGTGCCCATCTGAAGACGAATTGGATAAAGAAAATGTGGCTGTGTACATAATGGAGTGTTATGCAGCCATAAGCAGAACAAAATCGGTGGTGTGATTCACGCAGTAGAACACCTGCTTTGCAATTATGAAGCTATGACTTCAAACCCCAGTCCTACCAGAAAGAGGAAGTAGAAGGAGAAGAAGGAGAAGAAAATCATATTGTTTGCAGGAAAATGGATAGAACTGGAGCGTTTCATGTTAAGGGAAATAAACCAGAGTCAAGAGGACAAATACTGCACATTTTCTTTTGTATTTGGAATCTAAATTTTTTAAAAAGACATGAAAGTAGAAGGGGGACTATCTATTTGGAAAGAGTAGGGGGACATCAGAAGGAGGGATGGGGACAAGAGAGAGTAATGAGGGGGAGAGTATGATCAAAGTACATTATGTACCTGTATTAAAATGTCATAATGAAACCCATTATTTTGTACAATTAATACACACTAATAAAAAAAGTGTGTGCATATCTGGAACCTACAGTAATTTTGAAACAGTGATATTTGTAGATTTCTGCAACACAAGTATCTGTGATTTCTGTTGGTGATGAAGATCAGGCACTGCTGGAGTCCTGCAAACTCCTTTGCTGTGTGCATTTGCACTTGTGACTCTTGTCTCTACACAAGGCCCTGCACTCGCTGGTTTCTTTCTGCCCACGTTCTGCAGTCAGAGGTCAGACACTTCTGGACTTGAGGTTACTCTCCCTGACTGACCTGTGTTGGTGACTAGGGTCTGGGCCAGCTCTGTCCCTCACCAGCCTGGACCCTGGCGAGCACCTCAGCAAGACATAGGAGTGGGCCATTGTCCTTGAGGTCCTGGGCACACTCCTCCCTGCCTCCATAGATGCAGCAGGTGACCAAGGATCCCTTGGGGGCTCAGGTTCACTTGCTGCTCTTGGGAGATGGGGTGGGAAGAAGACAGATGGCTTATCCTGTAAGTAGAGGGGCAAGTCCTGTGACTTTGGACTAATCTGGATCCAAGTCCTGTCTCCACTGCTTTCTAGTAATAAGGTCTTGAGCAGATAGCCTTAGCTCTTTGGGCTTCCCATTTCTGCCTGTGTGAGTCAGGTACTAGTAATTCCTGCACTAGGCTTGTTGTGCGAAGGAGATGAAGAGTTTCTGAGCAGAGAATGAAGGTAGCAGGAGGTCAGGACTGGAGAAAGTGATTACTCCTGTTTCCTCATTGCCTTTAAATTTACCAGAAATGGGTTTGGTCCTGGATGGCCCCTGGATCTTCCTCCTCTGGGTTAATCTGACCCTTCGGACAAGGCGGGGACAATAGAATGTGCCCTTGAAGTTTATGTAGTCCCTGCCCAAGTAGGGAAGTTCACATCACAGTGTCTTGGATAGTAAGATTCTGTGCCCCGTAAACATTTCCATACCCCACCAGGCTCAGTCTCTCATCTCTTTATCTTTGCTGCCATCCCACTCTCACAATGAGCACCCCCAACACCCATTTAGCACTACAACCTGCTCCCCCCCATACACACACCCAGGCACCTGAATCCTTTCCTTCTCTCTAATTTTTTGTAGCACTCGTGACCTCAAAATACAGCATAGAATTTCTTTATTCATATGCTTACAATTTAAATTCTCACCAGAGCAGGCACATTTTCCTGGTTTTTTTTCCCCTCTAATGCTCAGAATAATATCTGTATGTATCAGGCACTGGGCATACATTTGTTAAAAGGATAACTGAAGGAAGAATGGAGAAGTGAGTCAAGTCTCCACTGTGGTTGTCCTGATCCGAGCCACCACCCTCTCCCACCTGGATTGTTATCCAGCAGCCTCCTGCCTGGTCTCCTGGCTCCCACCCTGCCCTCTGCAGCCCACCTGCCCTTTAAAATGGAAGCCATGTGAGGCCAGGAGCTTGGAGTTATTTTTCCATTGGCCTGTGTCCCTCTAGTGCTCGAAACTGTGCTCAATAAAGAAGAGGTACTCAAGTATTTGTTGCATGAGTGAAAACAAAAGTCTTAGTGGGACATTCACAAATATCTGGGGGCATTAAGGTATATTTGGGGGCACAGTCAGATGATGAGGGACCTTCCTCTGTGCTGACAGCCCACAGAGCTGGGTTCTGGGTGCCTGACCAAGCCCCTGACTTGCTGGCAGACCTCAAGCAATTCTGCTCATCTTAGCCTCAGTTTCTCTGGGTGTAAAGGCAGAAGTTGGGCCTAGATGAATGGTATTCTATTTTTTCTCTGATTTTTCTAGTGGAAAATGAAAATTTCATTAGAAGTGAAATTTCTTCTAGTGGAAGAAATTGTCCCAAATGAAATCTCCAGGGAAACTCCATAGTCAAACAGCCAAAGGTAAGCAGTGAGGAGCTGTGGGTGAAGGTTCTGGAAAAGTTGGGGTGGGTTGTAGAATGTGGGGAGACGTGAGGTTCAGACTGTTTAACCATCCTGATGAGGGTTCTATGGCCTGTACCCCTCTCTCTGCCTCCCCTTCATGTATGATGTCTTCCCCACGTCCCTGTCTCCCGTCAGTCTGCACCACATTCCTCCCCTAGTACCCAGGCCTTCTTCCATGTCCAAATTGAGCCCTTCCTGCCTTAAACAGCTTTCAAAGGACTTCATTCTGGTCCATTGCTAGCCCCTCCACCCCTACCTCAAGCCCCCTCCTCCAAAGATCACAGTCTGCAGTCCCCAAGAGCAGCATCAGGAAAATGATTGGCTCTGTCACAACTGAATGCAAACTGCAAGCAACGTTACATTTTTCCTTCATTTAATCTGTCAGGAATATGAAAACCATACGAGCAATTTTCCCATAGTGACAAAAACACACCAAAACAAAGATTAAGACAGAGAAGAACACACCAGAAGGTCCCTAAAATATACCCACTTTTCCCCTACAGTTTGGAGCTAGGGCAAAGTTCTTCCTGGGTCTAACCTCTACCCGCTTTGGCTCCACAGTCCCCCTCTCTTTCAGATCCATAGTTTTGAATCATGACCAGGTTGGAAGGCAATTCCCTGGGTTCTTCCCTAACTTTGCTGTGTGACCATAGGCTGGTCACCACTCCATCTGAGCTTCAGCAAAGTGAGATGTCCCCCCCTTCCCTGCTGTCCCCTCTTGCCTGTCAGCAGCTATTGCTGTCATGGAGTAGATGCTGACGAATGTGACTGTGATAGGGAAGAGGTTCTGGAAGTAGCAGAAGGCACGGCCAAAGTACCAGATGTTGTGACTGGCATAGATGAAGTTGAAGACAGCATTGAAAGTGGCCATGCAGAGGTCAGCCAGGGCCAGGTTGATGATGAAGTAGTTGGTGACCGTGCGCATCCTCTGATGGGCAAGGATGATCCAGATGACTGTGGCATTGCCTGTCACAGCCACCAACACCAGTCCCAGATAGGCAATGGCCCATAATGCCAGCTGCCAGCTGGGCATGCAGAAGGCTGTGATGCCTGTGGTGTTGCTCTCGAGGCCAGATGAGATGTTGGCATCCATCACAATGGCACAGGTCCCCATGCTGTTTCTGGGCCTGGGACACAGGGCCTGGCTCTACAGCTCCTCCTGAACTTGCAACAGAAGAGAAATCCTCTTTGATGCGTGGATATATGGGGATGATGGGAACGGAGAGAAAAAAATTCAAAGTGAGTTTTGTTCAGCCTGGGGGCCACGCCTGTTTCTCAAGCAAAGATGAGTTGGACTGAGCAGAAAGCCCAGTTCAAAGTCATTGTCATGTCAGATTCCCAAGTCCCAGCCAGACTTCTCAAATGTCACGTGGAAATCCAGAATTCAAATCACGGTTTCAGAGCAGGAACCTTTTTTGCAGCACATCAGTTCAGTCCCTTCATTGAAGAGACAAAGATTGAGAGCAAGAGGGGCATGACCAGCGAGGTCACTCAGGAAGTTGGTGACAAGCCCAGGAACCAGGTCTTTCTTAATGCTACTCAGCAAACATTCCGGATGAGAGTCTGTGGATCTCACAGGTCAACAGTGCGCAGGCTATCTCTGTAGGTTTTGGGGTACAGGCTGGGTTGGGGGCTCCCAACTGCTGCCAGCCCTTGGCCACTGCTCACAGCTGCTCTTCCCTGAAGGGCAGGCGCAGGCCTTGGCAGAGATGCTGTTTGTTCATGAGGTGGGGCTTTTCCTCCCGCCCTCGTCCCACCTCCTGCTGGGATGGCTGGGTCTTGTCTCTTGAAAGATTTAGGGTAGGCTGGGAGGCAGGGAGAGACCTGGGGGAAGTAGGCACAGCGTGGGTGGGGGGGCACAGGGGCATGATCCCCAGCGGGTGTTTACATTCATCCTGGGGCGGAGCTGCATCTAGAAACATTTAGGAGCCAGAGTGAGTTTGAGCTAGCCTGGTGACCCTGAACATTCTCTTAAATTGTTCTAAAAAGAAAGTCTTAGTTAAATGCTCAGAAATAGCTGGGGAGCATTGGGGTACGTTAGGTGGTGGTGGAAAAGTCAGATGGTGAAGGGGATTCCCCCGTGTACCCAGCCCAGAGGGCTGAGTTCCAGGTCCTGCCTCTTTTCCTGACTTGCTGACTGACCTTAGGCAATCCTGCTTATCCTAAAATGAGCCAACCTCAGTTTCCCTGGATGTAAAATTGGAAGTTAGGTCTAGATAAATGGCATTCAAACTTTCATCTTTAACTAGTAGGAAAAAAGTTCCCAAATTAAATCTTCAGGGAAACTCCATAGTATACTAGCTAAAGCGTGAGGGGCTGCGGGTGAAGGTTGCTGGGGTCACTGGGGTAAGGTGGAGGACGGAGTTGTAGTGGGAGACAAGGGAAGAATATGGGGGAGAGACAGTGTGCCTCTCACAGTATATTGGTGAGTTTTAAAAGAGATTGTGTCCATGGAGTATATTTAGCACAGGGATGGCGCGTAAGAACGTGACATGGATTAAGAGAGAGAAGACAGACCTGGAAGCATTTATAACCAGTTCCTGGGTGATGTTGGTGCTGCTGGTTCAGGGACCTCACTTTGAGAACCACTGTCTTAAGACAAAGATGGGGCTCACTACCTCTTTTGTGAGCCCCAGAAAGGGCAGAGATTTAAGCCCTAGGGGCTTCTCTAGGGGTGCCCACGTTTATCTGGTCTTGGTTGTTCAGAGTGAAGTTGTGATGATGTTTGTAAATGACTGCATGAGTGTGGCCGGTGGTCGAGCTCTCACACACCCATCCACCTGTGCAAGCCCGTGGCATGTGGACATGGAGACATGCCCCTCATGCCCAGGAGTGCTGTGTGTCACCAGCAGCCTTGGCACAGTGGCCTCAGAGTCCCGGAGCTCTGCCTGCCACAGCCTGGATTTCTCATGACTGGGTACCCCTCTCTCCTGCTCCCCCACCCCCAGTCGCCTCTCTCCTGCTTCTCTCCCTTAGTGCTGTTTTTCACACCCGTGGCCTCCTGCCTCCCTGGCTGAGCTGGGAAAGGCCTCCGAAAGTCTCTAGTGTTGAAAAGATTATGCAACCCATGGAATCCAAACTAAACACGATACTAAGCCATCCATCCTAAAACTTAAACATGCTGAAATGAAAAGAGCTTCTTTCTAGATTTTTCTTATGAACTTCTGGATAAACTCATCAGCAATCAACACTGTTATCATACCAACTGTTTAATGTCCTTACTGTACTGTGCAGAGTGTGTGCTGGGGCTGGGGGTGGGGAGTCCAGCCCTTGCCTTTGGGGAAAGGGGTGCTTCTAGGGTCCCTCCTCCTCTCACGATATGTGATGGAGGGACTCGGATGTTTGCCCTCCCAGACTCAGCTCTGGGAAGAACTGGCCAGGCCTTGGGGGAAAGGCCTGTTTTCTCTCGGGAGAAGGCCACCTTGGGCTGTTTGGACTTTGGTCCCTTACAGAAGTTCTCTGCCTTTGATGTCTTTTGGTGATAGCAGCAGCAGCAGCAGCCAGTGGACTCTGGAACTTGTTTCTGTCTCCTGCTTATTTGATCTGGATCCTGGAGGACAAATTGTGCAGAAATAAGAATAATAAGACTATAAGGCTGAGACAACCTTCTGGTCTCCTGCTGTCAGGCAGCCAGAATTTGTTGAGCTTTGGGTACAAATACAGTGCAGGGCTAGGAGGCCTGAGAGCATGTCACCAATCCCAGAAGCCCAGAATAGCACAAGTCCCCATCTCTCCCAACATCCTACTACCTCCACTGTATATGTAATGGGGATTATATTTCGGAGCTACTAAATCTAAGTTTTTATTTCCCCACTAAATCATATTCTCTTGCAGCTTTCCAATTATGTGCTATGAAGCTTGTTGCCCCATGGAAGGAGAGGGTGAGGGCCTCCCAGGACAAAAGGATAACTCATCAGTTTTCTGCTCAGAGCAGGCCTTCTGAGTCCCCAGGTGGACAATGGTCTAAATTCCTTACTGGCACTGGCTCATCAGGACCGGAAGGTTTGCTCATCAAGATTGTGTATGGAAAGCGGAGGGGGGAGAATTGCTTGTGGCTCTGCTGGCATTGCAGAGCTGATGACACAGGAGCTGGGGACCTCCAGGAAGCAGAGTATGATTCCGAGTCTAGTGCACAGGATGCTGACTGGGGAGAGGTTGTAGGGATGACATCTGGGGAAGGCAGGGAAGGAAGTGAGGGCACATGGAGGAAGACGCTGAGCCTGACCAGCAACCTAGGCCAAACTCATGCCTGGGAGGAGCTAGAATGTGCCATCATGGTTGTGCTGGTGGGTGAAAGTAGGTTCACATGAATCCTTGGATGTGGGTCACCCCAAGAAGGCGCATGGCAGCTCTTTGTAGCTGAGGTGAGGCCTGCAGGGGTGACAGCTAACCACTGTCTTCAACAACACACACAGCAGCTTGCAGAGGGATCTGGAAAGAATATGACAGTGATAGCCATGGTTGAATAACAGATGCCACCTTTACATGGGGTAGGTGCTCCTGAGGGAGCCTCGCTGATTTGTGTCATTGTGACCTCTACATGAGAGGCTTGCAAACTGGAGTTAGGAGTGTATCTTAAAAAAATACCTGAGGCAGGGTAACTTATAAAGAAAAGAGGTTTATTTAGCTCAGTTTTAAAGGCAGAAAGCCCAAACAGCATGGTGCCAGAGCTGACCAGGGCCTCCTGGCTGCAGTAACTCATGGTGGATGGAATCATGGCAGGAGTATGTGGGAGAGAGGGGAAAAAAAAAGCACTTGGTGAGACAGAAATCCAGAGATTTTTTTGTTTTATAATAATCCTCCCTCTCAAACTAACTAGGACCCCATAAGGATACCATTAAGCCCCCATTCTTAAAGGTCTCGCCCTCCCTCAGCATCACCACCGTGAGCATCAAGCTTCCAACCATAGGAACTCTTGGGGACACATTGAAACCACATCCACACGGTCTGAGATGCCTTTGGAAGTTGGTCAAGTGTGTCTCTGCCCCGGAGACGGCCTTGGGTCATGGCTTTGTGGGTCACATACAGCATCCTGGGACCTCAGTTGCAGGTAGCACTGCAGGTCATTTAGTCACCACAGAGGAGTGCAGGGGTGATGGAATTCACCTGGACCAGACAACATGAGGGCAAGTGGTACAACTTATTTAGCTCCATGAATCCAATTTAAAGGCTTGTGCTTCATTCTGAGACTATGTCCTCCTGCTTTTGGGTTAAAATGTTCTTTCATGAAATAATGGTAATGGCAGCTGGTAGGTGTTTTCTTGGCTTTTTTTCCTCTCTCTCTTAAATTCCTTACTTAGTGGAATAAAGAGTTGGTGGCTCTCAATTAGGGTTTTGGTATTTTTGGGGGTCCATAAAATTCCAAGACCCAGTTCTTCACTTAGAGAAGTGCTATGAGCACCTCCAGAGGAGGAGGACTTGCCCGGGCTTCATCCTTGGGAAAGTGGGGTCCACATCCCCAATTGCTTCCTTCTGTCCTGTATGGCCATCCTGGTCCGTTGGCTTCCTCCCTCAGGAGACCCATCAAAGCCATCTCCTGTCACACCCAGGGGGGCTCTTCAGGGCCCGCACTCTCTTGTTGCAGTTAGTGTCTAGAAAGGTTGCTTGCAAGATGTGACATCCTATAAATGTTGATTGAATGAAAATAATGAATGAAATTTAAATATGACTCAGGTGAGGAACGGAGTATCTTAGGAATATAATATATATTATCTATTTATCTATATCCATATAACATAGATAGAGTAGTAGAAATAGATATGAAAGCATTAAATTAACAAGTCGAGCATTAATGATAGGATTTCAGGCAACTTTGAGTGGGCAAGGTAATAAATATAATGCTGGCACAATGACACATAATAGATATTCAATGTCAGGTGAATAAATGAATAACAAATGAGGCGTAAACTTTAAAATATTGTCCTGTCAGGCGTGAATGAAGCACCGTTCTTATTTTCAGAGAATCTAAAGCTTAATGTAAAAGAATGTCTCTAAGTAAGTCAGGCAGGAGGAGGATGTGAGAGTCTCCGTCACAATCCGGGGTTTATTGCTCATAAATAGCCCCCTTCTGTCTATGAACCGCAGGATTGCAGGCTGCTTCCTTCGGGAGAAGAGCTTTGTGTACCTTGGCAGGGCATCAGTGGCCCTGGGTCTTTAGTGGAAAGACAGAGAGCCAGCTTCTCTGCCAAGGGCAAAAGATGCCACTGACATCTTGTTTAAACACTGAGAGCATGCCAGTGCGGCGCCTCACGCTGAAAGCCTCAAGTTTATCTAGCTGGAGAAGAGAGGCCAGAATGTTTACATCTGCTGTGGGCCTGGTGTACACAGAGCTCAGAGGCTCTTAACACAAATCGCCTGCATTTCCCAGCATGGGGTTCAACAGAATCTGTCCATCTATGGCAGGCGGGTGAGAAAGTGGTGAAACACCCTGGTACCTGCTGCTGGGTGGGCAACAGGGGGTCATTCTGCAACCAACCTGGGGTCAGAGACAGAGGGGACTTGGTGGCTGCCTAGGCTCCTGGCCAATGTGGCACCAAGTGAAGAAAAGGGCAAAGGGTCAGCCAATTTGTCAAGTGGCTCCAGCCCTGGGCCAGTGAGCAGGTGGCTTACTGACCAAGTGCTTGGACAATCAGCACAGAGCTAGGAGAAAGAACCATGTCTCTATCTTCATGAAGTCTCTAACCAGGTGGAGAGCCAAGTTCCAGCTTGGCAGAGAGAACTCCCCATAGCTTTCTGTTCAGTGGACGACGCCATGAGCCTCAAGCTTTGGAGGAGGGCAGAAGAAGCCTTTGGGGGCCATGAGCAGTGAGGAGGGGGCTGGAGTGGAGTGGCCTCTGGAGGTAATGAAAGAGATGACATGGGAATGAGCTCCAGTCCTGAGACAGGTCGGAGCAACATGGCTTGAGTAGAGGGGGTGCCAGCAGAAAAGGAAAGGGAGGTACAGCCACTATTCTGATAGGGTCTTGTGACCAGTCTGCCCAGGGCTGGCTTCAAACCACAATCCTCCTGATCTCTGCTTCCTGAGTAGCTAGGATTACAGGTGTGAGCAACTGATGCCTGGCTTGTTCACATATTCTGGTAAGACGCAGAGAGCAGGCAATCCCCTCTCCAAAAAGAATTCTGCTTTCCTCAAGGGCATTTGAGATGGTTAATCTTCAGACATTCTTATGTGGTGAAAAAATATTTGCATTCCATAACTTGAGTGCAGGAAAGGCAGGAAAAACTAAAGCTAAGTTTTCATATTAAAGCAATCAGAAGAAATAAAGCAATCAGGAACATCCATATTCTGTTCCAGAGATAAGCCTAGAGAGGGAGCAGAGTGTGAAGACTGATGGAGAGAACTTCGAATGTTCTTTCTGGGATGACTTGTCCAAAGTTACCTTACTGGTCCTTCAAGGAGCTCTCAAATGCCACCTCCTCAGGGATGTACCTGCAAGTGACCTTTGGGCTAAACGGCCTCCTTGACCATTGATGTTGACTTTGGGATGGCCTATGCAAGCTCATTTGTGAACTATTTTTCCTGTTCAGCTCATGGTAGGGGGGCAGAGCCTGGACATATGGTGGGCTTGGCATTACTGGAAATTATAGCAGATGGGCCCTCATGATATGTATTTGGGTTACTAAAGTTTACTTCTACTAAAATGACATCATGAAGCCAGGGGATTTGGAAGGTTTCCTGATCAATGGAAAACAGGGATGAATGAAGGTGCTATGTACCTTCGACTTCTGTTGGAATCTTACCTGATACTTGTCATTCCCTGTTATAATCATTTTTCACTTGGCAAAAAAAAATATGCCTGGATCCATAGGCCACTCTATCCTCACCCAATCCAGGTCATCATTATCAATAGCTTTGTCAAAATAGCCTCCTCACGACCCCTTATATGATCTTCTCCCCTCCACTCCATCTTCCATGACTGCCACAGTGATCTTTTTGTTTTTAAATAAACCCTTTTGCAAGATAGCGTCTTGTGAACTATTTTCCTGGGTTGGCTTCAAACTGCGATCCTCCTGATCTCTGTCTCCTGAGTTGCTAGGATTAATTACAGGCTTGAGCCACTGACACTTGACTATCTCTTGAAATTCTCTCTCTTGACTCTGTCCAGGAGCTCATCTGTTCAAGCTCAACTGGTGACCATCATTTATGTAGTCACAGCAGTGGTTACTGTCTGCTGAGTGCCAAATGTGTGTCTGGTGATTGAGTGAGTTACCTGATCTCTTTGTGTCTTCTTTTCCCTATCTGTAAAATGGGACGATTTGTACTACCTCCTAGAACTGTTACCAAGGGTTAAATTAGTTGATAATTGTAATAGGTGAAAGCAGACAGGAATATATGTTCAGGAAAGTTAAATAAGTTGTCAGGTAGTCAAAGCCAAGTCTGAAACTCACATACCCTTTTTCCTCTTCCCATCAGCTTCTCTGTAACTGGAAGTTCTCCCAAATGTCCCAAGGGTGAGATGTCTTGCCATAGACACTATAATTTATTAATTCATGAATCCTCCTAGGCCTCAATGGAGCACCACCTCCTCCGGAAGCCTCCCGGGACACTTGTTCTCTGTCCTTTAAGGGCACTTTCAGGTCCCCAGAGCTGCCCTGTCTCTTCTGTGTGTGCGTGTGGTGGGGGAGAAGGGGTCAAGGATACTTGCCCTTGTGATCATCAGCAAAGGTCCAAAGCCCTCCAGGGACTCCCAGCCTGTTAAAGATACCGAAATCGAGGCCAGGCACTTGCTCCAGCTCAGACAGCCAAGTGCTAGTGGAGCTGTGACTAGAACTCAGGCCTCCAGACTCCCTGTCCTGCTCCCTTTCCCTGCTCAGGGCTTTCTCCATGACTTGTGAGCCTTTTTATAGGGACAATGGTTCCCTTAATCACAGTTGTACAAAAATTGAGGCTGTCCAGGGTGATCCCAGCCTAAGCATTAAGGGAAACCATGTGTTTCTCATCTCAGACTCTCTGTACCCACTCCTGCTCCTTCCTGACCAATCTCCCTCATCCCTGGCAGAGGGTTACACACTGTAGCCTGAGTGCTGTAATACATAAATGACAGCGCTAGAGGGCAGCCTCACTGCTTGAATCCTTGTGACCACAGGGCCTCAAGGAGCCTCTCTATCAGATGGTGGTGGCAGTGGTCGTGGGAGCCAAGGCTACCATTTACTGAGTCAAGTTGTTTTGTTCTAAGCTGTCATCTCTAATCAGCAGATCCTCCAAGGCATACCGCCTTTTCTTGCTATGTTTGGAATCTCAGAAAATGGACCACATCCACCAAGTCACCCAAGTCTGAAACCAGGGCCTTGCCGTCAGCTTCTCCACGCTTCTCTCCATGCCCACTGTTCGTTCTTCCCCTCTGCCTCCCCATTCTGTTTACCAAGAGCCACAGGCTCTTTTTTTTTATTTTTAAAAAATTTTTTATTATTCATATGTGCATACAATGCTTGGGTCATTTTTCCCCTCTGCCCCCACCCCCTCCCTTATCACCCACCCCACCCCCTCCCTCTCCCCCCTACCACCTCGATACCCAGCAGAAACTATTTTGCCCTTATTTCTAATTTTGTTGTAGAGAGAGTATAAGCAATAATAGGAAGGACCAAGGGTTTTTGCTGGTTGAGATAAGGATAGCTATACAGGGCATTGACTCACATAGATTTCCTGTGCGTGGGTGTTACCTTCTAGGTTAATTCTTTTTGATCTAACCTTTTCTCTAGTTCCTGGTCCCCTTTTCCTATTGGCCTCAGTTGCTTTTAAGGCATCTGCTTTAGTTTCTCTGCGTTGAGGGCAACAAATGCTAGCTAATTTTTTAGGTGTCTTACCTATTCTCACCCCTTCCTTGTGTGCTCTCGCCGCTTTTATCTTGTGATCAAAGTCCAATCCCCTTGTGTGTTTGCCTTTGATCTAATGTCCACATATGAGGGAGAACATACGATTTTTGGTCTTTTGGGCCAGGCTAACCTCACTCAGAATGATGTTCTCCAATTCCATCCATTTACCAGCGAATGATAACATTTCTTTCTTCTTCATGGCTGCATAGAATTCCATTGTGTATAGATACCACATTTTCTTAATCCATTCGTTGGTGGTGGGGCATCTTGGCTGTTTCCATAACTTGGCTATTGTGAATAGTGCCGCAATAAACATGGGTGTGCAGGTGCCTCCGGAGTGACCGAGCCACAGGCTCTTGCCTCAGTACCTGATGTAGACCAGTGGTTCCCCAACCTTGTTTCGTATTCGGATCACCCGGGGAGCTCTGAAAACTCCAGGTACCCATGCCACACTTGAGACGGATCAAGTCAGGATGTCTGGGATGGAAGCCAGGCAGCAGGGCTTTTTAAAGAGCCCCAGGTGGTTCCAGCCTGCAGTCAAGTGTAGGCATGGCTCTGCCCCTGGTCTGAGACGCTCCTGCATGCCTTTTCCCTTGAGTAACTCTTGCTAACCAGCCACTTTACTTCATATCTGCCTTTCCCCTGGAAGGCACAGGAGCCAATGTCTCCATGTGCCTCCACACTCACCACACTGCCTTTTCAACTGTTCCCCTGGTGTGTGTGTGAGCAAATTTTTGCAACACTGGTTGTGTTCTCACAATTTTCAATTTTGCTTCGCATTCTTATTTTTGCAGTTTAACTATTAATAAGGCTTAATCATAAAGTAACATATTTTCTCTTCACATGTGGAGGGTAGCTATGAAGACACCTGTTCTTATACTCTTTTTTTTTTTGGAGAGTACTAGGATTTGAACTCAGGGGCCTCATCTTGCAAGGCAGGTGCCAACATATCTAGCTACCCATTTACATTGTAAAAAATATTTTTTATTGTGTATACTTAAAGTGTACACATGATGTGATGGGGCAGATATAGGTGATAAAAAGGTGAGCATATGAAGCAAATTAACTTCTCCATCATCTCACAGTCACCATTTTCTCGTGGGTCAGAAGTCACTGAAATGTACCCCTTTAACCTGGTACAAAGCCTCCTAGGTTTCTACTTTGAATCTCTAGATTTGTTCCCCTCCATAGCTGCTACTTTGAATCCTCTGACCTACATCCCCTTATTTTCACCTCTGCTCAACCATTGCTTTGTTCTTTATCTCTGTGGGTTTGAATTTTATCTTAAGTCCACATGTAAGTGAGATCATGCACTATTTTTTTCTGTGTCTGGCTTATCTCACTTAACATAATTTCCTCCAGGCTCATCCGTACTGTGGCAAATTGGCAGGATCTCATTTTCTAGGGCTACATAATATTCTATTATGTATGTGTACTATAGTTTCTTTATCTGTTTATCTTTGAGCAGACACTCAGGTTGTTTTCATATCTGTTATGAATGATGCTGTACTAAGCATGGGAGTGTGGCCGTCTTTCTGAGATGGTGATTTATTTCCCTTGGGAATCTACTCAGAAGAGGGATGGCTGTGCCACTAGGTGGCCTTCATAGGACTAGGTCAGCTGTTCACCTCTGTGTTCTTTTGTCTTTTCTCAACTACGATCTCTGCTCTGATTTAAATTTTCATTTGGTTGGCGTACTTTTTGGAGTGTTCTGCTTAGGGATGATGGTAATTGTGTAGTGTTGTCTTGGAGATCTTGCATGTCCTAAATATTTTTTTTGTCCTTCAAGTGAATGAGATCTTGCCAGGATGTCAATTCTTCTTCT